CAAACATCAAAAAATGAGGATTCATATATCCCTTTTCTTGCTAGAGCATCAGCAACTCTATTACATTCTCTAGGAATCTGCTGAATGATGACATCCCAGTCGTACTTGAACATAGTCTGAATTCGTCTGATCATTTGACCGCTTGTGTTGTAAGACTTCCCGTCCAGTAAAAGATCCATAACAACTTTCGCATCAGATTCAATCACAATCTGTTTAAAAACAAATTGCGATGCAAAATGGCCCATTCCTCTGCCTCTTGAACGCTGCACTTCCCAATCTTATAAGTAAAACCAACTATCCAGCCTCCATTGTGATTCCGAAACACCCCACTGCATCCTGCCTAACTAGAAGTTTTAACCATAGCTCCATCCGCATTGATCTTAATCCAGTCTGTTGGGTGGGGGAGCATAGTCTGCTTAAGAGAATATTGCTGCCAGATATTCAAAATCACCTTTGCTGGCTGTTGAGGTTTCTCAAAATTTTCAGGAAAAATAGCCTCATTCCTCCAGTTCCATAATTTGCGAACAGCTACACCCCATAGAGATTCCCAATGATCAATTCCAAATTTTCCTAAATCACTTGTCTAGTTGACCTCAAACCATTCTTGAAGAGAGTAGTTGAAAAAAGGAACTAAATACCTTCGCTTCAGCACCTCGATCCACAAGGTCTTATCATAATCACAATCTCTCAAGATGTGCAAAAGAGTTTCTGTTTCAGCATTGCAATAAGGACAGATTGCGGATACTGTTGACCAGCTGCTCCTCCAAGCATTAGTAGGTCTATCATTAAAAGCTCTCCACAGGAACACTTGGATCCTCTCTACCCGCCTCCACTTCCAGGTGCGTTTATAAATGGGGTTATATTGACTAATGGGGTTTTCCTCGATCAGGAAATGTGCACTTTTAATGCTAAATTTACTGTCTGGAGTACCATTCCACACCATGATATCATTTCCTGCTTCCTCACAAGGAGTTAGACAACTGGTTAGATGCTGTAGGGCATCATTGTTCATTACCTCTTCAAGTTTCTGAAAATCCCAACCTCCATTTAAAGTCCAATCTGCAACAGAAGTTTCGGTTTCCTTGTATGTAAGCTCCTTCACAGACATATTCTTTAATTTTTTATTCGGGAAGAGCCATTTATCATTGAAGAAATTTATGAGTTTCCCATTCCGTAATCTCCACGTGGTTCCCATTCCGTAGTTTTACTATGTTGTTTTAGTTTTGTTCATCCGTATTTTATATACCCCATTTTTTTTTTAAAATAGGCCTTCTAATAATAGTAGTTCTAGGCAATAAACTTGATTAGTAAGGATATTTTAGGAAAGATAACATCTATTTATTACAAATAACTAACTTAACTTATTTCCTCAATCTATTCAAATTAGTCAACTAGCTCTTATATTTAGAACTGGAAGTAGTATTAAATAGGGGCAAAGTTAAAAAGTTGTTATATTCTAATAAAGAGTTAACACAGTTAAAATTCTCCTTAGTTTGTCTATATGAAACATGTTGAAAATACCTTATAAATAGGATTAGATGAGTATTTCAACTCTAAGTAAACCCACATAGCATTCCATATTAACAGAGGGGATAAACATCGATTGCGGAGCAACCCAAGCAAGATGGGACGAGGACGGGGTTTATAACGAGGCAGATGACGGGAATGTTGTGGAATCGGGTCAAGTTTATAATGCAAGTTCTGAATACACTAACCCTTCATCTCAGTTCAACACCCTAAGAAGTTTTCCAGAAGGGAAAAGGAATTGCTATACCTTCAAACCCAAACAAGGCAAAAACAACAACTCTCTCGTTAGAGCTTACTGCATGTACGGAAATTATGACTACAAAAATTCTGTTCCCTCCTTCGAGTTCTATCTTGGCGTCAATTTCTGGACAGAATCAGGTATAACAGGAGTCGGCAACGTTGTGAGAGTGGAGGTCATTCATGTTTCTCCTACAAACAATATTGATGTGTGTCTTATTAACACTGGCCATGGAACACCCTTCATTTCCCTGCTCCAACTCTGGCCTCTCAAGATTTCTATATATCGACCCACTACCAATTTCTTGCCACTAGCCCTCAACACACGCTATACTCTGGGAGTGTTTCAACCAGATCATCCTTTCATCAGGTTAACTATTTCAATCAATTCGTTACTCGGTACCAGCTTATTCATTTAACCTGTATAAATTAATACGCATGGTTTGTTCTTTAAACAATAATGCAGATACCCGGATGACATCTACGGCAGGTCATGGGAGTGCAATAGAGTGATCAAAAACTCAGAGCCAATCAACACATCAGTTGCTATTGATGGTGATGTGTCAGACTATAAATTACCCAAAGAAGTGTTGGGCACTGCAATTCGTTCGCGGAACGGGTTGTCCTCTTTAGTTATCGACCTGGGGGGTTACAGTGCAGATTACGAGTACTATATTTACCTTCATTTGTTTGACTTCGAGGAGCATTCTCAAAATCAGCAAAGAAAGATGGAAATTACTTTCACGGATACCATCCGAGAGAACATAACTCTTCAGTACCGGGTGCTCAAAACCGTGGTTAAGACAATTCCTGAAGGGGTACATCTTCATAACATTTCAATCACATCCACCCCAGATTCTGGTTTGCCCCCCATGATCAATGCTTTTGAGATCTATAGAGTACTGCCCCAACCGAATTCACCAACTCGAGAAGGGGATGGTAAGTATTGTAGTACACACATTTTTTTCATCCTATCATTCTCCTTTTACACTTATAAGAATGAGCGGCCATGTTAGGCGACTTTTATAATATGGACTATTATCTTGTTTTAAATACTCTAGAGCCAAAATCGGTGATTCTTAATTTCTTATCTAAATTAAGGGCCCAATTTCTCTTATATTATTGAAAAATGATTTAGTTAAGGTAAACATAAAGAAGTTACTGGAAGCATAGGGTGGCATATGAGGGAAAGAAATGATACTTTGTGTTCTTAATATAAGAGTTAGATAATTAATTTATAAATATTATTAAGGGCCAATTTCTTAATTTCTTAATTTTTCTTCGTCTGGGAGCTTCTATAATTTTGCGCTAGTTATTATCAGCTTCTAACACACGGCTCGATGCTTCTGACATCCTATTTATGTATTAAAACTCTAAAACGCTGCTTATATCGGAAATAACAGTGGATGCTATGCGGATTGTGAAACATACATATAACATCACCAGAAATTGGCAAGGAGATCCCTGCGTGCCAACCAGTTATAGTTGGGAAGGTCTGACTTGTAATTACATTTACAACATCCCATCGGTCACCTCATTGTGAGTAGTCATTTGATCTTTTTAAAATTTTGTTAGACGTGGCCTGGTAATCTAACTAATTTCCATGCCCGTTAACTAACATTTTAGTTCAAGACTATAATGTATTCCTCTGTTTATGCTGTCTATTGATACATCAATATTGTTCACTGAGCTATAAAGGAGTATATATGTGTTGCGACTTCCAATATCTCTCTTCGTCCTTGCTTGTACTGTGTTTGTTGTAGCGAGATTTCCATTATTGACAACAAATGGGCAGGGACTTGAGCTCAAGCAAATTGAGTGGAGAGATAATTACTTCATTTTCCGAACTCACATCGTTGGAGTCCATGTAAGTAGTATTGGAAACTCATTCTTGATGAATTTCTTTAGTCACATTCATTATCCAATTAAGCAATGCATAATAGCTCTCATGTAATAATTTCATGTGATTAATATGTTACATGTTGTAGGGATTTGTCCAACAATGAATTGATGGGAGAAATACCTGAAGTTTTAGCAAAACTACCCAAGTTAAAACTACTGTAAGTTGCAACGCTTTAGCGTATACAGAAATAATGCTTCCTAGCTAATTCCACAAAGATTGTGATTTTCTCACGTGATGTATTAGCAGTAACTTGTCAGCGAACAATCTAAGCGGTTCAATTCCAAAAGCTCTTAGGGAGAAGAACGGCACTTCGTTGATATTGAGGTTTGCTTATTACACCACTCTGAATTCATTCCTCTTCAGTCGCTTTGTCTTCATAGAATGGAACTTCTTCTGTTTGATTGAGAATCTTCAGAGGAACATGTTCTATTCTCTCTTCCTTCACTAGTGTATTTTAGTTTCAAAACTAGTAATTGTCTTCATTTAAGATACTATTAACAGCTTCATTAATGCCATATGCTAGTTGAACAATATACAGATAATGTTCTATCGTACGACTCAAAGTTATGAACTGGTGCTTTTTTTCACCCTAGTTTGGATGGAAATCCAAGTCCCTGTCAGATGGGTGCTTGCAAAACCAAAACAAAGCCGCCTATCGTACCACTTACTGCATCTGTAGTAGCTTCTGTAGCAGTTCTCACAATAGTGGTCTACATTTCTGTGAAGCTTTGCAAACATAAAAGGGGAAAACAAAGTGACACGGAGAGCATGCCAGGTGAGCTCACACCCTCATTTCCTACTTAAATATAAATGGCTTTATAAGTGTCATTAAATATTTAGTAAAAGTTCAAGATTAGTTTGGATATATTTTTTTTAAAAAAAAAAAAGATTACACTTTGTGACATACTTATGAAAGGTAAATGCTTTCAACTAATTTTATCCAATCCATCTTCGTAAGTCAACCATTTGTTTCTTGTATATAGGAACGGAGGAGTATAAGATCCTTTGCAAAATTTAATGAGACATGCATGACGCATTTTTAAAAATGCCGTTTTCTTAAATCTTCTTACCGTAAGTACTTAATGGTTTTGATATCCTCCCCACAATGAACTATATATGTAGATCAATGAAAGGGAAATCTTGGAAATTTGTAAAAAGTTTTAATATTTAACTGGTTTTAACTAATTGAATCTCATAAAAGTAGTTAATATGACTTTATAAAAACGACAGAAATGAGTAATTCAAATTTGATATATGTATTTGCATACCTGAAATAATTCAAATTCAATTATTAATATATGATGCTATTGGAATTTCATTGCCATTGGTGTAGTGAAGATTTCTTCATTTAGAAAAGACGGGAGTCTAAAATCCAAAAATCGTGCATTTAGTCACTTGGAAGTTCTTGGCATTACCAATCACTTTGAAACCGTAATTGGAGAAGGGGGATTTGGAAAAGTGTACCTGGGAACACTAGAAGATGATACACAAGTTGCAGTCAAGTTACTCTCAAAGTCATCACAACAAGGGTTTAAGGAATTTCATTCAGAGGTTAGAAGCAAAAATCATTAATCATTTGATGTTGGATTTGAATGTTTTCCTCTAATTTATATTGAACTCCAACACATTAATTTGTTGATGATAATAAAGACGAAGTTCAAAATAAATGCAGGCAGAACTTTTGATGGTTGTTCATCATAGGAACTTGGTTTCTCTTGTTGGCTATTGTGACGATGGTGATACGAAAGCATTACTTTATGAATACATGATTGAAGGAAATCTCCGACAAAAATTATCAGGTTTGTTAATTACTTTGTGACTAAAGTATACTTTTAATCCTTTAACTTTATATAAAGTTTCAGTCTAGTCCTCTAACTTAAAAAACATATATTTTCAGTCATTTAAGTCCAAGATTGTTAGTCTTAAATGATGATATTTTATGATAATCATAGTTGTTTTGAAAATTAAACTTAATATATTAATATTTGAGAATATTTTATTAACATTCAAGATTTCAATAATATTATTTTCTTAATGGTTTTAGGGTTAAAGGACTAAAAATATACTTTTTAAGTTTAAGGGACCAAATAGGTAAAGTTAAGAGACTAAAAATATATTTTAATATTACTTTTTGTAAGATTTGTCTTGAAAATAATGCCCTAGGAAACATCAAGGCAATGAATTGAAATTTTTTATTGATTATATTCGTTCATATATAATATTTAGAGCTTTATCCATTCCATAATGCCAGAATATAACTGTATATCTGAATTATTTGATGGAAATTCTTCAATGCACTGTCGCATGTCTCTCAAATTACTTAGTTTGTGGGGTACTACATGGCATTTGTCTATGCATAACCTAAATATTTTGCAGATAAGAATCCATGTGCTTTGAAATGGAAAGAGAGACTTCAAATAGCATTGGACGCGGCATGTGGTATGCAAAATACTCTTCTCCCCTCTTTAAAATAGTCAACCCACTTCCTTTGCTTTTATTCATTTTCATTGTTTTCAGTGACCTTTTGTTAATTTCAGCGTTAGAAATTATCTTATTTAATTCTCATTGAAAATGCAGGATTGGACTATCTACATAATGGTTGTAAGCCAGCAATAATCCATAGAGACTTAAAAACTTCCAACATCTTACTAAGTATGCACATGCAAGCCAAGATTGCTGATTTTGGATTGTCCAGAGCTTTTGACAATGACACTGATACTCATATATCAACTCGCCCAGCTGGCACATATGGCTATTTAGACCCTGAGTATGTAAATTTTGTCATCTTTTTTTCTTTTCCAATCTTTGTTGATACCCAGAATGTAAATTTGTTCTATTTTACTCAACTTTAGCAAAATATATAATAGAATAGCTTATTAGCATTTGTTCATCATTCAAGCCCGTCTAGCAATACATATAATTTCAATTTAAAGTAACCGCACGGCCTTGAAACTTAGCATTGATGATTAAAAATAGACGACCTGCTCAATTCCTTCAAAAACTGATTAATCTTGCAAAATTTGCAGGTTCCATAGATCTGGAAGTTTGAACAAGAAAAGCGATGTTTACAGTTTTGGGATAATTCTGCTTGAGCTAATGACTGGACAGCGAGCAATAACTGAAACGTCTGACGGGGCACGACACATATCTGATTGGGTAAATCCAAAGCTTGAGACTGGGGATATCCAAGCCATTGTGGATCCAAGATTAGAAGGAAAATTCAGTCGTGCTTCAGCATGGAAGTTTCTAGAGATAGCCATGTCTTGCATTACACCCGCAGCAGTCCAAAGACCTGATATAAGTTCTGTTGTATTTGATCTCAAGCAATGTGTGGCTATGGAAGCATCACCGGAAACAAGTTATTCCCTGTCTGGATCATACTCTCCTCCATCTGCTAGGTAGGATTGTTGTAGCGGCATTCATGGTCTTTCTCTGAATTGATCATCCAATCGCGGCAGAGAGATTTGTTTTGCTTAGTCAAGCTGTTTGCTTGTTTGCTTTGTTCTAACAAACCCATTGGATCATGCTTGGCCCCAGAGATAGAGAAATTTGCAAATTGCATAAACTAAACCACAGGATGCATATGCAATGTAGGTTATGTTGCTAGTGCAAAATATTTTATCAGACATGTGTCTATATATATGGGATGTAGAAAATATAGTAGTGATTGTGCCTAAAATGTCATATTTGCGTAGCTTAATTTTCTCAATGGCTAATTAATCATGCGAAAAAAATAGATTCCATAATGCTGAAGACTAAACAAAATTTAGAGAAATTTCTCCGATAACGAACTATATAGCTCAACTTCTAGCAAAATTTAGTAGAACAGCTTGAAAATGGCATGTTCGTCATTTGGCCACATCCAACATCACACTTTTCTGGGCCAAATACATGAAAATGCAAATTTATTGATGGATACTCAGTCTTGAAAAATTCACAGATTCCATAGCTGTGAAAACCTGAATAGGACAAGCAATGTTTACAGTTTTGGGGTAATTTCACTTGAGCTTATCAGTGGTCAGATGGCGGTAATACATAGGAGAACCTGTTCGCTGTCCAGCATGACCGCAAACGCACGGATCATTAACAAATAGTATAGATTAAGAAAATGTCGTTCCCTTGAGGACTAAAGTGAAAATGAAACGATTAACACAAACACGATCCAGATTAGGTTGAGCTAAGAAAATTTTGCGAATTGATAAAGTTCTTGACCAAATTAAGGTGCTGTAAAAATTAAACTAAAAAATAAAACTTCAATATTTTGAAAATCTAGGATTGCTTATCCCCTTTGCACTTCTTAAAACTATTCTTTTCTCTCAAAAAGGCTTTTTAATGATAAAATGTGCTTGTCCAAGATTCTAAAGTATTTGAAAACTCTCTCTCAAGTCAAAACCAAATTTATCTTTCCATTTGAAATGCTCAGTCTCTTGAAATACTTAATGAAAATCATTTTGGAAAATCAAGCTTGTTTTGACAGTGCGCTAGGTTGGTAGATTATCTCTAATCAATCCAATAAACCATCCACTCACTTAAGAATTTCAAGTCAAGCACAGTTTTAGTCAAGTTCTAAATCAAAATTAGCTTTCTCAAGACTAATCAAGATGAATGAATCTTTTAAAATGGTGGCCAATCAAAATGAAGTAGTAAGCATAAAATAAAACCAACATATACATCATTATATTACCCAAAAGAGAGAAAAGAACAAGATTCAATCCACACAAAGATTCAAAACAATTATAGAACAAGTCTACTAGCCACTCCTAATCTGAAAAGAACAACAATTATGTAAAAAAAATCAAAGCTGTAGCAGTATGAATGTAAAGAAGAAGAAAAAAATAGAAGAAAACCCAAGAAAAGAGCTCCAAAATGCCTCAAACTCTTGACCCAAGCTTCCAATCGTCTAATCCTTCGAAATCCTAGCAGAGAGCTCCCCCAAAATCTCTTGAAGTGTGTAGAATGCCAGAAAATTATGCAACCCTCTCCTAGATACCCTAACTTTTTGGTCAAGTTAGTAAAATGCATAGTAACGCAGAGGAAATTGCCGCGGCTATTGTCAGAAATAGCCACGGCTACTGTCAGAAATAGCCTCGGCTACTTAAACAGAGAGCTATTGCTTCCATTGGCCGTGGCTTTTGAGACCAATTGCAGCAGCTATTTGATTCTTTGTGGACTTCCTCCACTTGATTTCATTTTTGCCCCAATGCTTTCATGCTATGTCTTTAACCTTCAAAACCTGAAATAAAAACTTCTTTTATGCATCTATCTTCCTTTTCCAATCTTTACCTGCACCACAAAACTTTTAAATTCTCAAACATACCAAAACAACTCAATCTCTTCACACTTTACTAAAGAATTCACCTAAGTTCAATGTACCGAACCAACAGCACAAATTCTAATTTGTAAATGTAAATTATGCACAATTAGCCCTCAAAATCATGAGAAAGAGACTGAAAATGTGCTGGAATAAGGAGAATTTGTGGAGGTTATCAGCACCTGGCATCGCAAATCACATATCTGATTGGGTGGCTCCAAAGCTGGAGATTGGGAACATCCAATTGATTATGGATCCCAGATTAGAGGGAAAATTCAATACTGCTTCAGCATGGAAATTTTTAGAGATAGCGATGTCTTGCATTCCACAAGTTGCAATTCAAGGACCTAATAAAGAACATGTAGTAGCTGATTTAAAGGAATGTCTGGCCTTGGAAATATCCCTTCAAAATGCAGAAAGTAACAGTGGAACTTCTGGATCTCCTTTGATTACCGCTTATTTTCCACTTGAATCAAACTCAGGTCCATGTGCTCGGTAGTAGGATTATTTGCAGAGCATTGCAGTCTCTCCCAACGAATCATCCAATCCAACCAGAGAGATTTGTTCTGTTTAGTCAAGTAATCCTTTTTCTTTGCTGTATTTTCTTGTAAGTCTGTTTGTCAAAGGTTAGGTTGGCTCATCAGATGAAGAAATTTGTGAATCGCCTTGCACCAAATTGTCACCACTTTATGCTGAAGTTTTGTTTTTATTCCTTTTTTTAATTCGGTGAAAAACTCATGTCTTGAAGTGGAAACAAGGCCTCATACAATAATCATATTCTGCAAAATGCTCTGACATCAGTTTGTTCATTTTTCATTTCTTCTTCCTCCATTAAGGAGGTCAATTGAACTGTATATCTAAATGGTGTAGCAATCCGCCTCTAAATGACGGAGACATGAAAACACCTGACATTTTACCAAATGAACAGATACAAGCCAAGATAGTTGATTCTAGGTGACGATAATAAGCTTCATTTAGTGGTATTTTGTAATTCAACACGTTTTTAATTTGGAAGGAATGTTGTGTAATTCAGTTTTGAGGCAAAATGACATATTTGCTTTAGTCAGTGTTTCAAGATTGCAACCTAAATTTACATAAATCTGTTCTGATAATGTAATTTTGCGGTTCAGTAGATCGAATACAATATTTGAGGAGAAAGGAGGCTCATACCTTAAAGTTTATGTTTATTATATTGTAATTAATGTACTATATATTCAGTTGAATATTGTACCGCTTATGGTCCGTCGTCGATTGAATTTACACCCAACCCACCATTCTGTGTTTTTCGAAGTCTCATTTTTATGCCTCACGGTTTCTTTTTCTCTTCTGGAACTTGAAGAGGGCATCACAACGGATTCCGGGTTTTTTTCAGATCTGTTCATTTGGTTCGCCAGTGTTCTTGGCAACTCAGCACTAGTAATATAATTGCAGATAGTTACTTCAAATTGTCTAGTGCATTAATGTTTTCTCCCCACAACGCACTAATTAGAAAATTTAAAAACTACAGATAAAATAGTATTGACAGAGATAACAGATGTTTGACCTTTAAATAGTGAATTAATAGATCAACTTCATCATTAAGCATACAACAACAGTTGATATTATAAGTGCCCTGGAAAAACGAGCCCGACCCTATATATGTATGATCGGTTCATAAGCATCATGACAATCATTTTGTCAATAACGTCAGTCGGTCAACTACTACTACTATATAACATTTCTTGCCTCTCACGGCCACCATCTTTTTGCTTCTTCCTTTGCTTTATTTCAGCAACGTAACCCACTTTTTTTTATAAAGTATAATTTCTTTTATATATATTCCACCTCAGCTCAATCATCACCCTCGCCCAGAATAAAGCTCAATTATTTCACGTATGATATCATTTCAATAAATAATACTAGAGTGCAGAATAATTTCTGGTATGAAATATGTGATATTCTAATAATTATCCGGCAATGCGGGTTTTTTCCCCTTAAAAAACTTTTTCTTTGCCAACAATTAAGAGATTAATATTCAAATAAACTCACATTTATTATCATTTTTTATATATCGCCATATAATTAACGATTTCTTTTGCAAAGCTACATAAAACTTAAAATAGCAAAAATAATTGAAAAGAATGAATGGCCAAAAAAATAAAAGTTTCTTAGTAATGCTCCCAACAAAAAAAACCATAAAAGAGTTATGGGGGTATTGCCTGGAAGTCAAAAAGGAAATTTGATTAAGTGAACATTGATCCTCGCAGAAGACTCTAATGATTATTCCTCGTCTGCTTGTGCTGTAAAAGCGAGCAAACCCAAGAAGTCGGTCCGAGTAAACCGCGTGAAGTTACAGTGTCATATTATTCCATTCCTCATAATATTTACACTCAACATTTCTGCTAGATGGTTCGTGCTGTACCGTTCAAGAAATAACTGTCCATACTATAATAAACAAAGGATAAAATAGTACACTCATATTAAAAATTTAATAAAATTACTTATAAATAAGATCAATAAAAACCTTCTCTACCTTACAAATAGGATCAGAGTAATGTTTTTTTCTATCTAAGGAAGCAAAGACTAATGGTCCGAACGACCATAAGGAGCTTAAGTTTTTGAAAAAACCACACTCAAAAGGTAGCCCTTGTCTGGCTAATCGGCTCTTAATGAAACAGCATTATACAAATTAAAGCACAAATTTACGGGAGAACTACACACCTGAAAAGCCAGTTGTAGAGTTGAGGAACCCAAAGCTTTATAAGGCGGTTCCTTTAAGAAGACCCACCCAATTATTGTATGATTCATAACAACGAGATCAAGCATTCCATCTCCTACTTATTGGGAGCCAAGTGTTATTATTTAACATTTCGTGCTTCTCACGACTATATCTTATTCTCTTTTCTTTTGCTTTATTTCTCATGGTTCCTTTCATTTGTTCTTTTGGCAAAGTGTGAGGGGAAGCTCATTCAAACATAACACATTTCTTGGCTTTCCCATAAAGTATAATTTCTTTTGTAAATATTCCGCAGCAGCTCAATTATCAATCTGGCCCAAAAAGAAGCTCAATTATTTCGCGTACTAAATAACTTAAATAAATAATAGATTGCAGAATATCTCTGATGTGAAATATGAGACTTTGCGTTTTTGTGAGACTTACAGCTTATAATTATCCAGCAATTCGGAATTTAAAAAAAAAGAAAAAAGAAAAGTAAACTTTTTCGCCAAAAATATCATTATGCTGGATTAAAACCCAACAGGCTACACAAAATAAGCTTAAACACAACAAAAAAGCAACCTTACACAAAATGGCTTAAATAATAAAATAAAACTAATTTTAACGTCTATAAAATCGAGATATTAATGGTTAAATAAAAAAAAAGTAAATTTCATATTTAATTTTTATATAATTAATGAAAAATTTATTTGCTAAACAACATAAAACTAATAAACGACAAAACTTGAAAAGAATAATGAACGGCCAAAAAATTAGTTTGTTAGGAATGGCCCCACAAAAAAGGTTGTCAAGAGTGTTGCCTGAAAGAAGAGATGTGATTGACCCAACATTATCTTCTGTGGAGTGGATGCAATAATGCGAGATGTCGTCCTCTGAATCGAGGTGTAAAAGTAAAGACATATAATATAAAATATATAAGCGCGCCACATTATCTATATAATGATTGAACAAATATGTCTGAGTAATTTTCACTTGAAAACATTAATCTATAAGTCTCCATAGTTTAACCTAATTTTTAATCAGATCCCTCTATCACTCTTGTTCACTTGTAACATATTTTTGGATACTAAAAATTTTCCAATTTTATTCTTATTAAATTTTTTATTTTCGCTATATTTACAAATAATTCTCATATCCCTTTCTTTTTTTCTCAATGAGAATTAAATAAGAATAAAATTAAAAAAATATTAAATATACTATAGATGACTTATATTTAGAATTAAAAATTTTCCTATGGTTTATATTTAAAATTTAGTTTCAAATTATGGATAAAAAGGGGAAAAAAAAACTTTAAGGCCTGATTGGGGAATAAAAAAATTTAAAAACTAAAAGAAGAAAAGAAAATTACTTTTTAAGTGAGCACTAACTTTCGTGACATACCGTGTTTCCCGCTACCCACTGTAACCTTTTTGGCTTTTTCTATGCTTCCGCTCTTATAATTTTGATGCCTCTGGCAACATATGGGTCACTACTCCTTCAAACCACATATTATATGACTTTTAAAACTCCATCTGCGTTAAGAAAAATTTGGAAGCAAAGCAATTGGAACTTCATTATTTTTAAATAAGCTCGAATCGTACGTCTTGTGAGACTGACTTTAGAAGATAGCTTTTTCAAAATGGTTTTTCCATTCACTAGTTCAAACTCTAGAGTCTAGACTTACTTAAGGACTATCATCAAGTCAACTCTATTATATTCAATCCAATTGCCATGAAAGAAATAATGCTAATAATTGCTACGAGATTATTCTAAAATAATTACGATGAATGAAATAATAAGTATGGGAATTTGGTTAAAAGTAATAAAAGAAAAATCACCTCAAACCAAATCATATCAATTATAATTACACAAATAACTTTATTAGTGTTCAGATAAAGATACAAGATAATAATCATGATATATGTTTAACAAATTCTTGCATTATATGGATCGTAATATGGGCACTGCGTGCTGAACAGTGCATTCATAATGGGGGGCCAGGGAAATTAGAATATCCATATGCCTCAACTTGTCATCCAATTGTATTAGTTGGACGACTGGGATCCTACGCACTGTGGAAAAAGTTCATATAAGATGAACAGTGAGGCCATTCAACTTGGTTTTGCAGAAGACTCGAATTATTCCTCGTCTTCTTGTCCCTTTCATCTTCGACCGGGTCCAAAGTCCGAGTTCATTGCTCCTAATATTTATACTCAACATTTCAGCCAAGTAGTTCAAAAGCTATCCAGTCGGTTCATTATTCCTCTTTTCCTCATTACTGATCATATAAACTTGAAAACATGAGGAAGAGCACACCACTGTGGGTTCTGGCTTTGAATGCGTTTGTTTCACTCCTCATCGCTGTTGCAGCCGCGGATGCTGGAAATTCAGGTAATTACGTACTGCGCTTGGCCAGCTTTTCATTTTCGATCTGCTTGAACTCAGCTTACGAAACTTGACACTAGTGTGATTGTTGTTTATTTACTTTAAGCATATTTCTTCATCATTTGATTACTTCTAGGAAAAATCGCAAAAAAAAAAAAAAAAAACCAGTGAAATAGAAAAATTACATACAGGGACCTATTCACAAAAATTATTGTCAAAACCCATACTAATGTTGCCATGGGTCCTAATTTACAATTTTTCTATTTTGACAGTTTTTTTTTAACCATTTTCTCATACTTCTACTCTCTTGTTTTAGCCTTGTTCATCGATCCTTTATTTTATAAGCTTTTTGTAATTCATGAGTATATATAATAAAACGGTACCGGTAAATCTTTATTTCTCAAGGTCCAACTTAAATTATTAAAAAAACCTATGTCATTTGTAAATATTTTTTTTATTTACATACTAAACCAATATTAAAAAGGCAAAGATAAGGCCAGAAGTTGTTAAAAAAAGACAGGATCAGATAGAGAAACGCCTAAATGCATATTAACACCCCCTTATTTAATTTATACTATATTTTATAAAATCGGTGGGTATATTGGTTTTTGATATAAAATTAAAATTATTATAATATAGTTTTTAGATCAAGATAGATTCTATTGATTTTTAGTAATAACAGAAAGTTTTGTTCTGAATATAATAATATTCATGTGGATGTCCTAATATCTCTTATTATCTCATGTCATCTCTAATATCTCTCATTATCTCTATATTCTACAATTACTTCTTATTATTATATAATATGTAGATTCTATTAAAGATGAAAAGCTATGTATATAAATAGAAGGCATGTATTATGTATTTAGTACCTTGAATAGAATATAAAAAATACCCTTACCTTTTCTTCTCTCTATTTTCCCACTATGCTTCTCCACTCTTTCTTTAGTTTTATAACAAGTTCTAATTTATTCCAAAATAAATGTTTCGTTATCATTTTTTATTTTCTTATATTCATCCACATAATTTAATTTTGTGATATGTCATTTATTATGAATTTACTGGTATTAATATTTTTTTAATTCTTTCAGTTTAAAAAAAGCAGTACCAATAAATATCATTTTATAAAATATATTTAAAAAATTTCCTTTTAAAATTTTAAATGTTTCTTTTTTCCACTATATCTATATGTGCTTTATCGTCACGTCAAGGGTATACATATATAGTAAGTGAAAATTCATTTGTAGCAGTAAATCATATGATTACTTTGCAAGCTGTTTATATTTATATTGAAAGAATCAATATTTTAAAACATTACGTATTTCAATCCTGATTTTTTTTTTCTTTTTTTGGATCAACCAATCCTGATTACTGCGTACCCATTTAACGTTTCAATTTAACAGAGGGGATAAGCATTGATTGCGGAGTAACCCGACCTAGCTGTGACGAGAATGGGTTTTGTTATGAGGCAGACGATGGAAGTGTCGTGGAATCGGGTCAAATATATAATGTGTCTTCTGAACACACCCTTACCAGTGAAGATGAGCAGCTTTGGCAAGAGATGAACACTCTCAGAAGTTTTCCAGAAGGAAAAAGGAATTGCTATACCCTCAAAGCCAAACATGGCATATACAACTACTATCTAGTTAGAGCTTACTTCTTGTATGGAAACTATGACAGCAAAAATTCTGTTCCACGCTTCGAGTCGCATCTTGGCGTCAATTCGTGGGAAACATTAGGTGAGGATCCAAACGTTGTGAGAACCGAGGTCATTCATGTTTCCCAAGCTAACAATATCGATGTGTGTCTTATCAAGACTGGCTTCGGAATACCCTTCGTTTCTTTGCTGGAAATCTGGCCTCTCCACAATAAGGCTGTATATCGAACCACTTCCAATTTGTTGCCGCTACGCCTCGTCACACGCTCTGCTCTGGGGAAGTCTACAACAAATTCTGATTTTATCAGGTGAACTGTTTCAATCAATTCGTTACTCCCTACTTACTTTGCTCATCATCTTCAAAGCTGCATAAATTAAGCATGCTGTTGTTCTTCAAATAATAATGCAGATACCCAGATGATATCTACGGCAGGTCATGGTGGCTGGATAGAAAGATCCAGAATTCAAAGCCAATCAGCACATCGGTTGCGATTGATGCTGATAATTCGGACTATAGATTACCTAAAGAAGTGTTGAGGACTGCAATTCTAACACGGAACGATTCGTCCTCCTTAGTCATCGACCACTTGAACTGCAGTACAGATCACGAGTATTATGTTTACCTTCATTTCTTTGACTTCGAGGAGCGTTCTCTAGATCAGGAAAGAGAGATGGAAATTACTTTCACCGATACCATCCCACCAGAGAACATAACTCTCCAACATAGGGTGCTCAAAACCGTGATTAGGCCAATTCCTAGAGGGGAATATCTTAATACAATTTCAATCACATCCACCCCAGATTCTTTACCCCCCATGCTTAATGCTCTTGAGATCTATCAAGTACTGCCCCAACCGAATTCTCCAACTCGACAACGGGATGGCAAGTTACATATTTTGATATCTTATCATTCTCCTTTTGCTTACTTCTTTAGAATGAGCGTCGATGCATGTTAGGCGACTCTACATGGTCTGTCATCCTGTTTTAAATCACCTAGAGCCAAAATTTGTTTAAGATTATATTAAAACATGATTTTAGTCAAGTTAAACATAAAGATGTCGCTGGGAGCACAGGGGCTGTGTAAGACGGAAAGAAATATGTCTTTTGCTTATTTTGACAATATTGAAAACTGGTTGTTTTTCCTAATAAAATCTTTATGATTAACTAAGAGTTCTCTGAATAACTCCCCCATGCTTTTAATAACTTCCTCATGTTAATAATTTTAAACAAATCGGCCCTTAATTCCTATCATTTTTGAATTTTTCTTCCTGTGGGATATTCTTTTTTACTTGAGTTATTATTAGGTTCTGGCACATGGCTCTTGGATTCTAACTCATCATGTTTATGTATTGAAAAACTCTGATAAAATGCTGCTTATACCGTAAATAATAGTCGATGCTATGGGGATTGTCAAACATGCGTATAACATCACCAGAAATTGGCAAGGAGATCCCTGCTCGCCCAGCAATTATAGCTGGGAAGGTCTGACTTGTAATTACCTTGACATCATTCCAAGGATCACTTCATTGTGAGTAGTCTTTTGATCTTTTAAAATTTCGTTACACTGGATAACCTAAGGAAATAATATATTTTCATACCTATATGGCTAACATTTTTGTTATTAATTACCTGTCGTCAGTCAATATTAATGTTCAAGGATCTGTAAAGGAGTTTATATATAGAGAGAATTGAAATAAAGACCCATAGAAGAAATGTATTTACAAAAAAGTCCTATAACAAGTAAGCAACTCTTAACGATAAGTTTCAGAATAGGAAATAACAATGGCAATTGGTTTCAGCTATTCACTTGTCATTGAGACTTTTCAGTAATTTCTTGTTTCTTTCGAACCTCACTGTAATTCTCCATTATATATATGATGTGACTTCCAATATCTCTCTTCGTTCTTGCTTGTGTTTATTATGTGTAGTGAAACTTCCGTTCTTGATGACATATATATGAACAGGAACTTGAGCTCAAGCAACTTGACTGGAGAGATAAATACTTCATTTTCTGATCTCATGTCGTTGGAGTCGCTGTAAGTATTTAAGTAATGCCGACTTGATTTTTTTTAAGGTCTACATTCATTATCCAAGCAACGCAAAATAACCCCCGTGTAATAATTTCATCTGATTAATATGTCTCATGTTATAGGGATTTGTCCAACAATCACTTGATGGGAGAAATACCTGAAATTTTTTCTAAACTACCCAATTTGAAACTACTGTGAGTTGCAATGCTTTAGCGCGCGCGCGCACATATATAGAAATAATACTTTCTGGTTCCACAGATATTGTGATTTTCTCACGTGATGTATTAGCAGTAATTTGTCAGGGAACAATCTAACCGGTTCAATTCCAAAGGCTCTTAGAGAGAAGAACGGCACTCCTTTAATACTGAGGTTTAATTGATTATTGCAAAACTCTTAATTCATTCCTCTGCGCATCAGTTGCATTAATACTACCTCCAGTCCTTAATATAAGAACTAGTTTGACTTTTAATTTTGTTTTAAATACAACCCAATCCACTTTGTCTCTATATTTATCTTTTTTTTTTCAAAGTAATCTTTGTAGTTATTGCATATGTTAAATATTTCATCAAATAGTAGTTCTAATTAATATACATGATTGGCAAGGCTATTCTAGAGAAGACAACACCTATTTATTATAAATAACTAACTTAACAAACTTCTTTAATCTACTCAATTGAGTCAATTAGCTCTTATATTAAGGATGATATTATTATATTGTCTGCATACCTATATATAGAATGGCACTTCTGTTTTGATCGAGAATATTCAGAAGAATTTGTTCTATTCTCTCCCTACTTCATACTAGCTTAGTGTATTTTAGTTTCAAACATGCCAGTAATTGTCTTAATTTAAGATATTATTAACAGCGTTAATGCCACATGCTAGTTGCATAATATACTGATAATGTTTTATGATACGTCTCACAGTTATGTACTGAGATGCTTTTGTTTTTCCCCTAGTTTGGATGGAAATCCAAGTCTATGTCAAATAGGTGCTTGCAAAACCAAAACACAGAAGGCCGTTATACCAATTATTGCATCTGTAGTAGCTTCAGTGGCAGTCCTCGTAATGGTAATCGGCATTTATGTGAAGCTTTGCAAACATAAAAGAAAAAAACAAAGAGATATGGAAGGTATCCCAGGTGAGCTTACACCCTCACTCTTCTTTATATCCATTTTTCTTTTATGATTTTTCGGAAGCATTTGTTGTTTTGCGAAGTTCGTGCTTTTATTTAATTTACCTGTCGAGTTTCTTTAATTTCCATGATTTTGGGATTAATTCTAACCGCATTTATTTATAAGAAATTCTCTGCCCAGCTACTCCATCCATTTTTGAATATAGGAAGAACCTTTTGGCAATTTTGGATTATTCATAAGACCATTTTTTCACTTGTCTATCGCATTTATTATTTTTGACTAAAACGCTCCTACATTAAATATGCACAAAGTTATAAGATTTTTTTGTGCAATTTTACCTATAATCCTTTTGTTTGGTGCAATCAAAGATCATGGGTAAAATTATACCACTAAAAAGATTGGAGTGTTAGAGGCACCCGACAGGAGTAAAATTGCACCTTTACCCTTAGGTTCCGTTTGGTACGAAGCATTGAAAATGAGGGATTGGGATTGGGATTGCAATTGAAAAAATCATTAAAATAGTACTTAGTATGAATAATTGTTTGTTATATGGGATTAGGTATGCCCATAAAGGTGGGATTGGGGAATACCACTTCCCCCATGGTATTCTCTAATCCCACATACATGGCTTTGACTAATCCCATATATCAAACAATCTCTTATACTAAACACTCTCTTAATAGATTTTTTCAATTGTAATCCCAATCCCAATCCCTCATTTTCAATGCTTTCTACCAAACGTAACCTTAAATCAATGAATTCTCCATCCTCCCGCAATGAATTATTTAAAACAATCAAATAGTAATTTTGGAAAGTTGTAAAAAAAAATTCTAACATTTAACTACTTTCAACTGATTTATTTAATCTCATAAAAGTAGTTAATATGTGGCTTTATAAAAGAGAGAAATTCAAATTGTCTGAACATCTTATTACCTATGTTTATTTCTAAAGTAATCCAAGTTCAATAATCATTAACACACGATGCTATTGGAATTTCGCTTCCCTTTGTAGCGACTTCATTTCAAAACGATGGGAATCTCAAATCGAAAAACCGTGCATTTAATCACTTGGAAGTTCTTAGTATTACCAATTCCTTTGAGAACGTTATCGGAGAAGGGGGGTTTGGAAAAGTGTACCTGGGCACACTACAAGATGGTACAAAAGTTGCAGTCAAGTTACTCTCCAAGTCATCACAACAAGGGTTCAAGGAATTTCAGTCAGAGGTTAGAAGCAAAAGTCACTAATTATAGACGTTGGATTTGAATGTTTCCTTATATCGAACTTTTGATGGTGACACGAAATGCAGGCAGAACTTTTGATGGTTGTTCATCATAGGAACTTGGTTTCTCTTGTTGGCTATTGTAATGATGGTGAGACGAAAGCACTAGTTTATGAATACATGAGTGAAGGAAATCTCCGACAGAAATTATCAGGTTTGTTGATTACAATCATATCTCAATACTTATTTCTCTAGCTTAATTACAAGTCTCGTTAAAAGTTGTTTTAGGATTTGTCTTGCCATTATTGCTCTAATTAAGAAATATCAAGGCAATGAATTGAAAAATAAAAAGGAAGAGGAAAGGATGGTAACTATATAAGTGATAAACCATTACTGAGTTTGTAGGGTGCTTGACATTTTCTATGCACAACCTAAATATTTGCAGATACGAATCCATGTGCTTTGAAATGGAATGAGAGACTTCAGATAGCACTGGATGCAGCATGTGGTGTGTAAAATAATAGTCTCTTCCCCCTGCTTTGAAATTGTCAATCCATGTTCCTTTGCTTTTACTCTTTTCCATTGTTCTTCATGATTTTTCCTTTATTATAACTTCAAAAATTATGTTGCTGCTCGATAAAAATGCAGGATTGGACTATCTACATAATGGTTGTAAGCCAGCCATAATTCATAGAGACCTAAAACCTTCCAACATCCTGCTAGGCAAAAACATGCAAGCTAAGATTGCTGACTTTGGATTATCCAGAGCTTTTTTTGATGATACTAATGCTCAGTATTCAACTTGTCCTGCTGGCACAATAGGTTATCTAGATCCTGAGTACGTATTTATTTTCTGATTTCTGAAATTTTACCACTCCTGGATGCAAAAACTTTTTAATTAACTAACTTTTGAGCAATTCATTAGGATAGAAATTTGTTCTAGATTTACACACGCACATGTGCAACTCAAGATAATCAGCAACTGATGATGGAGCAGTGATTGTGCCTAAAATATGCTTAGCTAAATTTTATCGATGGCTAATTAATCATGCAAAATTTATAGATTCCATGATGCTGAAAATCTAAACAAGGTTTAGAGAAATTTCTCCATTATATAGGTCAGCTTTTAGCAAAATTTAGTAGAACAGATTGAGAATGGCATGCTCATCATTTGAACAGATCTAGCATTACATTTTTTTCCGGCCAAATGCATGAAAATGCAAATTTATTGATGGATACTCCATCCTGAAAAATTTACAGATTCCATAGCTGCGGAAACCTGAACAAGAAAAGCGATGTTTATAGTTTTGGGATAATTTTACTTGAGCTTATGAGTGGTCGGCCAGCAGTAATAAGAGCACCTGGCAGCACAAGTCACATATCTGATTGGGTGGCTCCAAAGCTGGAGAGTGGGGACATCCAATCCATTACGGATCCCAGATTAGAGGGACAGTTCAATACTGCTTCAGCATGGAAATTTTTAGAGATAGCCATGTCTTGCATTCCACAAGTTGCAATTAAAAGGCCTGATATAGGCCATGTAGTAGCTGATTTAAAGGACTGTCTAGCCTTGGAAATGTCCCTTCAAAATGCCGAAAGTAACAGTGGAACTTCTGGATCTTCTTTGAGTACCACTTATCTTGCACTTGAATTAAACTCAGGGCCATGTGCTAGGTAGGATTATTTGCAGAGCCTAGCAGTCTCTCCCAACCAATCATCCAATCTAACCAGAGAGATTTGTTCTCTTTAGTCAAGTAATCATGTGTCTTTGCTGTATTTTCTAGTAAGCCTGTTTGTCGCCCAAGGTTAGGTTGGCTCATGAGATGAAGAAATTTGTGAATGACTTTGCACCAAATTGTTACCACTTTATGCTGAAGTTTTGTATTTGTTCCTTTTTTTTAATTCGGTGAAAAACTCATGTCTTCAAGTGGAAACAAGGCCTCATGATATAATCATATTCTGCAAAATGCGCTGATTTCACTTTGTTCGTTTTTCATTTCTTCTTCCTCCATTATGGAGGTGAATTGAACTATATATCTACATAGTGGCAGTAATCAGCCTCTAAACGACGGAGACGTAAAACATCTGACATTTTACCAAATGAACAGATACAAGCCAAGACTGTAAATTTTAGGTGACGATAATGAGCTTCATTTAGTGGTATTTTGTTATTCAACATTTGTTTTTAATTTGGAAAGAATGATGTGTGATTCAGTTTTGAGGCAAAATGACATATTTGCTTTCATCAGTTTTGGAATATCACAATCTAAATTTATATGAATCTGTTCTGATAATGTAGTTTTGCGGCTCAGTAGAGTACAATATTTCAGTAGAAAGGAAAGACATACCTTAAAGTTTATGTTTATTATATCACAATGTACTGTTTAGTTGAACATTGCACTGTTTATGGTCCGCCGTCCATTGATTTTACACCCAACCCACCATTCTCTGTTCTTCGAAGTCTCATTTTTATGCCTCACGGTTTCTTTTTCTCTTCTGGAACTCGAAGAGGGCATCACAAGGGATTCCGATTTTTTTTTTTTTTTTAGATCTGTTCATTTCGTCCACCACTGTTCTTGGCAACTCAGCGCTAGTAATGTAATTCCAGGTAGTTATTTCAAATTGTCTAGAGCATTAATGTCTTCTCCCTACAACGTACTCCCTCCATCCTTTTTTATAAATAATATAGGATTTCTTTACGTAGATCAAAAGATTAGTTAAAAATAATAAATAAGTAAAAATTGGAATTTTTTCTCTCTAAAATACCCTTATTTATAGGTAAGAGGATATAAGAAAGAAAATAAAAAAATTTATTATAATAAAGAACATTATGAAAGAGAGAGAATGTGTGATGGAGAGATGATGATTTGAGAAATGTGATAATAAATATATTGAATATTAAAATAAGTAATTAATGGTGTAAAATAGGAAATATGCTATAGAAATTTAAGACAACTTGCAAATATTGTTTATATTTAGGGACAAAAGGGAGATAATAATTATTGCTTATAAAAAGGGGCAGAGGGAGTACTAATTAGAAAACTAGAGATAAAATAATATGGACAGAGATAATAGATGTTTGACCTTTAAATAACTAATTAACAGATCAACTTCATCATTAAGCATACAACAGTTGGTATTACAAGTCCCTGGGAAAACGAGCCCGACCCTATATATGTATGATCGATTCATAAGTATCATGACAATTATTTTGTCAATAACGTTAGTCAGTCGACTAATACTACTATTTAACATTCATTGCCTCTCACGGCCACCATCATTTTTTCTTTTTCCTGTGCTTTATGTCAGCAACGTAACCCACTATTTTTTTTTTCACCACTTCTTTTATAAAGTATGATTTCTTTTATAGACATTTCACCTCAGCTCAATGATCACCCTGGCCCAGAATAAAGCTCAAGTATTTCACGTATTATATCATTTCAATAAATAATACTAGATTGCAGAATAATTTCTGGGGTGAAATATGTGATATTTTACGTTTCTGCGACTTACAGCTTATATTAATTATCCAGCTATGCGGGTTTCTGAGACCTATCCACAGACATAGTAGATTTTTATTCATAAGGATTCACACAGGCCTGCTCCTGATTCTTTTTGAGGCCCAAACCAGACGGTGAGGGAGATATTGATACAACGTTATTCGTAAATCTACTTCAATAATCTGTTAGAATCCCAAAATTAATTCACAACATTATTATGCATTGCAAGGTACTGATCGATTTACACAACTTAGGTACATATAGTTTGTGGATGACAAGAATTTTTATGCCTTCATGTGATGAAACCTGATATTTTATATACAGTCCCTTAATTTCTGTATGACGTGGATCAGCAAATGAATTATAATATAAAAGTAGCATATATACTTATTTTCAAATAAGGATTTTAGTTGATGCAAATGTGAGACTTATTCGGTTTGAAATGGCTAATATTCCTGTTTCATATCCATACTGATATACAATTGAGCATTATGGTAAAAATAATGTAGGGCATTATATGTTTAGTTAGTATCCATGTAAACATGCATGTAAATAGCTAGTTAATATTCCTCAGCTCCTTACGAAGAAGTTGAATCACAGAATGTTGCTGACACTATAATACCATCCTCATTATCCAGTTCGCTCTTACATTGCGTTATTTGATGCACATTTTGTAACGTTTAGTTATTGGACTATGGTAATGGACATGTGTAAATGCTGTGAATTGATGTTTTAATTGGTTGAGGTTTATTTTTGAGGTTCAATCGTTCAAGTGATATTGGTGTGACTTTCTGTCTGGATTGCATGAGTTAGTAACAGATTCGGAAGGGAAATTATGTAGGATTCCAAGTCATTGTGAGCCCTTTTGTTGAAGAATTTTGGATCATGTGCTCTGCATATTAACTATCCCCTTATATTTTTTGCTGAGGTATTTAATTTGGCAAGAGTGCTTTGATTGTGTTTTGTTAATGAAACTGAGTAATTAGGACCATATGATATATAGAAGTTAAATTTTTCGATCGGTTAATTTATTTCCAACCCAGTAATTGGCTGATGTGATTTTTACTGTTAGGAATTTGGTTTGATTCATCACAGATGTTAAATAATGTTACCTAACTGATTGAGATATTTACACGCACTAAATTAGGTACTTTTGATTTTGAGTAAGATTAGTTTTGCAGAGGTGCTGTTGTCTCTTTCATGTTTTGCTGGAATTTTTTAGAACCAATGTTGTGGCCTTTATGGATAAGTAATGTAAAGGTTGTGAAAATATAAATTGCGTGCATCTTGATTAGTAAATTAATGGCAAGGTAATGTTCTAAAAAATGTTTAACTTTTTTATTGACTTAGTTTAGTCAGTTTGAATTTATTGGTCATGCATTTTTTTACACTTTACTGTTGTGGCGGATTTTTTTATGAGAATAAAATTTAGCAATATTAATATTCTTTCTCCGTTAATACTTATGAACTTTTTCACCATAATAAATATTTACAATATGTTTTTTTTTTTGGTTTTCAATAATAATTTGAAAATGCAATGAAGAGTGTATGTAGTTCAAGTAAGATTAGTTTGTGATTTTTTGTGAATATTTTTTTAAAACAAGTGATGTATATTCAAGCATTGTAGATAATACTTCTCGTGCATGGCACGGGAAGCACATGCTAGTTAAGAGATTAATATTTAGATAAACTCATATTTATTATTTTATTTATATATAGCCATATAATTAATGATTTTTTTTTTGCAAAACTACATAAAAATTAAAAATAACAAAGATAATTGAAAACAATGAATGGCCAGAAAAATAAAAGCTTGTTAGGAATGCTCCAAAAAAAAAACCCATAAAAGAGTAAGAGGGGTATCGCCTGGAAGTCAAAAAGGAAATTTGATTGGGTGAACATTATATTGATCTTCTTTGCAGAAGACTCTAATGATTATTCCTCGTCTGCTTCCGCTGCAAAAGGGAGCGCACCCAGGAAGTCGGTCAGAGTAAACCGCGTGAAGTTACAGTCTCACATTATTCCATTCCTCTCAATATGTATACTCAACATTTCTGCTAGATGGTTCGTGCTATGCCCAGTTAGTTCATTATTTCTCTCTTGCTCGTGACTGATCATACAAACTAGAAAACATGAGGAAGAGCACATCACTGTGGATTCTGGCTTTGTATGTGTTCGTTTCACTCATCATTATTGTTGTTGCAGAGGATGCTGAAGGAAATTCAGGCAATTACCGCACTTGGCCAGCTTTTCTTCATTTTTTGTTTAAACTCAGCTCACGAAACTTGACTTGAGACCAGTGATTGGTGTTTATTTAGTTTAAGCATATTTCTCGTCATCATTTAATTACTTCTACTCTCTCGTTTTCGCTTTGTTCATCCTTTATTTTATGCACCCTCAAAACACTACTCTCTGAGCCTTCGAAAAAGGAATTGGTACACACTCAAACCCAGACAAGGCAAAACAAGAGCTATCTCATTAGAGATTACTACCTGTATGGAAATTACGACAACAAAGGTTCTGTTCCCTCCTTCGAGCTGCATCTCGGCGTCAATTTCTGGACAGAATCAGGTATAGCAGGAGTCGGCAACGCTGTGAGAGTGGAGGTGATTCATGTTTCTCCTACAAGCAATAGGGACTCGCATTCATAGCAGAGGAAGTGTCCTATATCCTGAAGTAATACCAAAGATTAAGAACTTTTGTTAAGCAATCCATCGAGCCATGGTTCTATATGGAACATTCAAAGGAAATGGTTTCCTCTACGAGAGAAAATGGAAAGGAATTGTTACCGAACAAGGATCTACAAGTGTTACTGCAGATTTTGGATTTGGGATATTACAATGATCGTTATTATCACATAGGTTACTTCATATACAGAATGGCTGTTCTTGCTAAGATCGATCCAGAATGGGGACAAAATCCTTAATCATGATCAGAGCCCGATGGGAAAAATGCTGAAGAATCAATGATTTACTTTTGCGTCGGAAGGGATGTTGAGGAAACTGGAACTAAATATTGATCTGGTTCGAGTTGTGCTGATAGACAGCAGGAATCGCCATGTGTGTGAAATCCTTCTCCTCTAGGCCCATTCACTAGCCTAATAATATATAATAGTATATATACACTTGAGCTCCCTCTCTCTTAAGCAATGTAGGACTTCACTTTTGACACACCCACTCATATTCACAACAAGGGATGTATGATAAGTAAAATGGATTCCAGAAAATCAGAAAGTTGGAAGGTTTTGATGATCGCCGTTATTTGACCAATCTCCTTTGGTGGATTTGCGGGGGAGGAAAAGGGAATAAAATAATTAAAAAAATTCCATATCTCATTTGCTTCAGTAATATGGCATGTTGCTCAATTACAAAAAAAAAAAAAAAAGGGGGTTAGTAATCAAAATATGAAATTTCAAGATCTTAGTTTTAAACCTTCAAATATGAGGGAGATGATTTGCAACGCATCTTCAGACAAGTTCTTTAGTCTTTATATTTTAGATTTAGATGTTAATAAAATTTAAGATTTTTCTTAATTTTAGTCAAATATATTAAAAATAACTTATAAATATTACTCCTTCGGTCCTTAATATCAGACCCAATTCTTGAGTTAGTTTTGGTCCTAAATATAAGACCCATTTCTCATATTTATTAATTTTCTCTAAATTACCCCTATGGATACTCCCTCAACCATAATTAAGTAAAAGAGTGGGGGGTATTAAAAAATGATGATTATATAATTAATAACTTACCTAACTTCCTTAATCTAATCAAATTAATTAAATGGGTCTTATATTAAGGACCGAAGGAGTACAAGAGTAATGAAAGGGCAAAGATGAATGATGCATTTGAATGGCTCAATGGAAGATGCCACGAAGTATCAGAAACGGAGACGGTGGCGCGTGGGAAACTGCGCTTTGTCGGCCAAGAAACCATGACATTCACGGGTGGTTAGCGGTGACTCCTCTTCTAGGCTCTATATGGCCATGCGCTACAAATATAAGGGGTCCGTTTGGACGGAGGAAAAAGTGAGAAAAAAATAGGAGGGACGGAAGTCCAAGGAGAAAAACTTCCAAAGACAGTAAATTTTTTTTACCATTTTTCAAAGTTTTTTTCCCCGTCAGGCCAAAAAAAGTTTTGTCCCCTTAGTATACTCCCCCCCACCCCAAAAATTTCTCCCCATTCAAACCTAAGGTAAGTAAGAAGTTCCACTGAAATCCAAACGAAGTATGAGGAAATCATGTGATTCAATTCCATCAAATTACCGGAGAGATACGCAAAATGCTTGGACAATAATTCGTTATTCTGAAATTTCCTACTTTTTTTTATTGATTTATCTATCGAAATGTATAAATTAACTCCACTTTAAACCTTTGGAAGAAACCAACAACTATGTTTTTTTTTAGGTTAAAACAATTTTTGGTCCCATAAGTTTGTTTTATTTTGGTTTTAGTTATTTAAATTTTAAATTATGAGTTTTGTACCTCAAGATATAAAATGAGGCTTTTATTAAATTATAAAGACCAATATTTTAGATAAAAAGAAATTTGAAGGACCAAAGCTTATTATTTACAACTTGATAGATCAAAATCAAAATGAAAACAAATTTAAAGGACGGAAAATTATATTAGCCCAATTTTTTTTAATAAAAAAGGAAAAGTAAGAAACTATGAACTGTAGAAACACAAAATCTGCCGAATACTAAGCCCGATAATATGGTTCATTTCATCCTAGTCTGTAGTCTGCAGTTCTTTATTCCAGATTCTTCTTTAGGCGTCGTTCTTCTGTCACAGCTATATTCACCACTTCTTCGAGCCAAATGCTTACCATCAGTGAAAATTTTTATTAATTTTTCATCTTCGTTGCAGAATTTTCCTCCAATCAAACGGGCTCTAAGATAATTATTTTGACTCTGTACCTCTTCATAGTGATAAAAACCACTATATGAAGTTTTGAACACTGCCATCTGATCATGGAGTTAGCTGGGGATTCGTCTTTCTCAGTATTGCCTCCAATTTTATTTTTATAGGAATTTTTCGGAATGTTTGCCATACTCAGTATTTGATTTAACTTGTTTCAAGTAATTTTTGAAAGTGTTCCAAATACCCATTTAACCTTTTTTATAACACACGTTTCAAATTGTCTAGCGCAAATTATTGTTTTCTCCCTACAATTTAATTATAAAATTAAAAAACTATAGATAAAATAATAAAATAATATTGCCAGAGATACCTGATGTTGGCCTTTGAATAATTAATTAATAGATCATCTCCATCATCAAGCATCCAACAACAACAACACTTCGAACTATGTGTGCCCCGGGAAAACAAGCCGGACCCTGTGGATAAAAGTGCCAAGTTATTATTAGGACTTATTGATTTTTTTTTTTTGAGACTGTTGTAATTCATCTTTTGTTTTACATGCGTGTGCCTGTCATTTTCTCAATGACATTAGTCAGTCTCTAACAAAAAAAAAAATGTTAGTCGGTCAATTAATATTATTTAACATTTCTTTGCCCTGTCACGACCATCTTTTTCTTTACCTTTACTTTTGCATTTGCCTTATTTCTCGAACCCACCATTCTTTTTCACTTCTTTTATAAAGTATGATTTTTACCTTTACTTTTGCCTTTGCCTTATTTCTCCAACCCACCATTCTTTTTCACTTCTTCTTTTATAAAGTATGATCTCTTTTATAGATATTCCACCTCAGCTCAATTATATGGCCCCGGCCAACAAAGAAGCACAATTATTTCACGTATTTTATAATTTCAATGTTGCAGAATAATCTGTGATATGAAATTTTTTTAGCCAAAAATTAGGAGATTAATTTATAATTAAAAAAATAAACTTCATATTTATTATTTTTCATATATCACCATATGATTAATGCTTTTCTTGCTAAGTTACATAAAAATAACAAAAAAAAAGTTTGTTAGGAATGACCCCAAGAAGAAACACAAAATGTTGTTAGGCGTATTGCCTGAAAGTGAAAAAAGAAATTTGATTGAGCGAACATCTTGAAGTCAAAATCACATGCCTCATAATAATATTTATACTCACATTTCTGCTAAATGGTTTAAGCCACGCAGTTCATTTTCCTTTTCCTCATTCTACTGATATAAACTTGAAAAACATGAGGAAGAGCACACCACTGTGGATTCCAGCTTTGGATGTGCTTGTTTCATTCCTTATTGTTAGCCACTCAGTTCCGCAGGTTTTTGCCGACGATGTGATAAATTCAGGTAATTGCGAGCTTCTGCAGCTTTTCAATTTTTGTCTTAACTTATATGATGAAACTTGACTTGAGAGTGATTTTCATCATTAAAGTAGTTCTACTATCAAACGAGGGCTAGAGCCCAACAAGAAAAGCTAGACTAAATGGCGACTGGTTCCCACGCTCTCTGCTTCCACAATTGCCCTTAGGCTGGTTGGCCAAACATCAAAAAATAAGGATTCAGATATCCCTGTTTTTTTTTTTTTTAATAGCATCAGCAACTCTATTACATTCTCTAGGAATCTGCTGAACAATGACATCCCAGTTGTACTTGAGCATAGTCTGAATTTGTCTGATCATTAGACTGCTGGTGTTGTAAGACTTCCAGTCCAGTAACAGATCGATAACAACTTTCGCATCAGATTCAATCACAATCTGTTTAAAACCAAATTCCCATGCAAAATGAAGTCCCTTATAAATGGCCCATTCCTTTGCCTCTTGAGCATTGCACTTCCCAATCTTATAAGTAAAACCAGCAATCCAGCTTCCATTGTGATTCCGAAACACCCCGCCACATCCTGCCTGACAAGAAGTTTTAACCATAGCTCCATCCACATTGATCTTAATCCAGTCTGTTGGTGGGGGAGCCCACTTCCAATTCGAGGTATAGTGCTATTCTTTTTTACGGGTTTGAGCATAGTTTGCTTAATAGAATATTGCTGCCAGATATTCAAAATCACCTTTGCTGGCTGTTGAGGTTTCTCAAAATTTTCAGAAAAAATAGCCTCATTCCTCCAATTCCATAACTTCCAAACAGCTACACCCATAGACATTCCCAATCATTAATTCCAGATTTTCCTAAATCACTTGTCAAGTTGACCTCAAACCATTCTTGAAGAGAGCAGTTGAAAGAACTAAATGCCCTTGCTTCAGCACCTCGATCCACAAGGTCGTAGCATAGTCACAATCTCTCAAGATATGCGAAAGAGTTTCCGTTTCAGCATTGCAATAAGGACAGATTGCGGATACTGTTGATCAGCTGCTCCTCCAAGCATTAGTAGGGAGTCTATCATTAAAAGCTCTCCACTGAAACACTCGGATCCTCTCAACCCCCTTCCACTTCCAGATGCGTTTACAAATAGGGTTATATTGAGTAATGGGGTTTTCCTCAATCAGGAAATATGCACTTTCAATGCTAAATTTACTGTCTGGAGTAGCATTCCCCACCATGATATCATTTCCTGCTTCCTCACAAGGAGGTAGACAACTGGTTAGATGTTGTAGGGCGTCATCGTTCATTACCTCTTCAAGTTTCTGAAAATCCCATCCTTCATTTAAAGTCTAATCTGCAACAGAAGTGTCGGTTTCTTCACACACATTCTTTAACTTATTATTCGGGAAGAGCTATTTATCATTGAAGAAATTTGTGAGCTTCCTATTCCGTAATCTCCACCTGGTTCCCATTCCGTAGTTCTACTATGTTGTTTTAGTTTTGTTCATCCATATTGTATATACTCCATTTTTTTTAAAGATAGTCATTCTAATAATAGTACTTCTAGCTAATAAACTTGATTAGTAAGGATATTTTAAGAAAGATAACACCTATTTATTACAAATAACTAACAAATAACACCTGGAAAAGGCTTATGATCGTGTGCCAAGAGAAGTATTGTGGAAGGCTTTGGAAAAGAAAGGTGTACGGGTTGCGTATATCAAAGTCATACAAGATATGTATAAGGCGGTAACTACCAGTGTAAGGACGCCTGGGGGGAGACAAAGGACTTCCCTATTAAGATTGGCCTACATCAGGGATCCTCTTTGAGTCCGTACTTGTTCAACATTGTTCTGGATGTTCTAACTAAACCTGTTCAAGAAAGAATCCCTAAGTCCATGCTCTTCGCGGATGATATAGTTCTTACGGCGGAATCAAAAGAAGAAATTAACACTAGTTTGGAGTTATGGAGAAAGACTTTGGAGTCGAAAGGTTTCCGTTTGAGTAGGAACAAAACAGAATATATGCATTGTGATTTTGGAGGGAGGCAAGGTAATAGGGATTTGGAGGTGAGGATGGGAGAGCAAATTATTCCTCAAGTATCAAAGTTTAAATACCTAGGATCCATTATACAGGAGGATGGGGAAATTGATGGAGACATTTCTCATAGAATACAAGCTGGCTGGTTAAAGTGGAGGAAAGCTACCGGAGTTATTTGTGATAAGAAGGTACCTGAGAAATTTAAAGGAAATTTTATCGGACTGCTATAAGACCAACTATGATGTATGGTAGTGAATGTTGGGCAATAAAGGGAAAACAAGAGCACAAAGTCGGAGTAGCAGAAATGAGGATGTTGAGATGGATGTGTGGTCATACAAGAAAAGATAGGATTCGAAATGAAAAGATCAGGACAAGAGTCGGTGTGGCACCTATCCAAGAGAAAATGGTTGAAAATCACTTAAGATGGTTTGGACATGTGCAGAGAAGGCCTTTGGAGGCCCCGGTGAGGAGGGTGGATCAAACAAGATGGAGTCCCATAAAAAGAGGCAGGGGAAGACCGAGAAGAACGCTGAATGAGGTCATTGAATGAGACCTCCTAATCAACAACATATCTAAGGATTGGGTTGTTGACAGAGCACGATGGCGTCGTGTGATTCATGTAGCCGACCCCACCTAGTGGGATAAGGCTTGTTGTTATTATTTGTTATTATAGTCAATTAGCTCTTATATTTGGGACCCGAGGTAGTATTAAATAGGGATAAAATTAAAAAGTTATCATATTTTAATAGAGAGTTAATACAGTTTAAAATTCTCCTTAATCTGTGTGTATGAAACATGTTGAAAATGCTTTATAAATAGGACTAAATGAGTATTTCTACTCTAATTAAACCCACATAGCATTCCATATTAACAGAGGGGATAAACATTGATTGCGGAGCAACCCAAGCAAGATGGGACGAGTTCGGGGTTTATAATGAGGCAGATGACGGAAATGTTGTGGAATCGGGTCAAGTTTATAATGTAAGTTCTCAATACACTAACCCTTCATCTCATTTCAACACTCTAAGAAGTTTTCCAGAAGGGAAAAGGAATTGCTATACCCTCAAACCCAAACAAGGCAAAAACAACAACTATCTCGTTAGAGCTTACTACATGTATGGAAATTATGACTACAAAAATTCTGTTCCCTCCTTCGAGTTCCATCTTGGCGTCAATTTCTGGACAGAATCGGGTATAACAGGAGTCGGCATCGTTGTGAGAGTGGAGGTCATTCATGTTTCTCCTACAAACAATATTGATGTGTGTCTTGTTAACACTGGCCATGGAACACCCTTCATTTCCATGCTCCAACTCTGGCCTCTCAAGACTTCTATATATCGACCCACTACCAATTTCTTGCCACTAGCCCTCAAGACACGCTATACTCTGGGAGTGTTTCAACCAGATAATCCTTTCATCAGGTTAACTATTTCAATCGATTTGTTACTCGGTACTGTCTAATCCATTTAACCTGCACAAATTAATAAGCATTGTTTATTCTCTAAACAATAATGCAGATACACGGATGACGTCTACGGCAGGTCATGGGAGTGCAATAGAGTGATCAAAAACTCAGAGCCAATCAACACATCAGTTGCTATTGATGGTGATGTGTCAGACTATAAATTACCCAAAGAAGTGTTGGGCACTGCAATTCGGTTGCGGAACGGGTCGTCCTCCTTAGTTATCGACTTGGAGGGTTACAGTGCAGATTACGAGTACTATATTTACCTTCATTTCTTTGACTTCGAGGAGCATTCTCAAAATCAGCAAAGAAAGATGGAAATTACTTTCACCGATACCATCCGAGAGAACATAACTCTTCAGCACCGGGTGCTCAAAACTGTGGTCAAGACAATTCCTAAAGGGGTACCTCTTTATAACATTTCAATCACATCCACCCCAGATTCTGGTTTGCCCCCCATGATCAATGCTTTTGAGGTCTATAGAGTACTGCCCCAACCGAATTCACCAACTCGAGAAGGGGATGGTAAGTATTGTAGTGCATATATATTTTTTCATCCTATCATTCTCCTTTTACACTTACAAGAATGAGCGGCCATGCTAGGCGACTTTTATAATATGGACTATTATCTAGTTTTAAATACTCTAGAGCCAAAATCAGTGATTCAATTTCTCCAATATTATTGAAAAATGATTTTAGTTAAGGTAAACATAAAGAGGTTAGTGGAAGCATAGGGGTGTATATGAGGGAAAGAAATACTACCTCCCATTCTTAATATAAGAGCTAGATAATTAATTTATAAATATTAAAAAAAATTAGCTAAGTTAGTTATGTGTAGTAAATGGGTGTTATATTTTCAAAAATATTCTTGTTAATCATGTACATTGAAATTACCCTTTAATAAAAAATTTTTGACATGTGCAATCACTATGGATACTACTTTGAAAAAAATGGGATGAATACGGGAGACAAAGTGAATTGAGATCTTGTATTTAAAATCAAATTAAATACCTAATTAGCTCTTGTATTAAGGACCCAAGGAAAGTAGTATGTGTTTAGCTTATTTAGATAATATGTTGAAAACTGATTTTTTTCCTAATAAAATCTTTATGATTAACTTAGAGTTCTCTAACAACTCCCGCATGGTTTCAAAAACGCCCTCATGTTTAGCTAACCAAAATGACTCTGTATTTTAAAATGATGTTAAAAAATTGGCCCTTAATTACTATTATATTTTAATTTTTCTTCGTATGGGAGCTTCTATAATTTTGCGTTAGTTATTATCAGCTTCTAACACACGGCTCTTTGCCTCTGACATCCTATTTATGTATTAAAACTCTTAAAATGCTGCTTATATCTGAAATAACAGTGGATGCCATGCGGATTGTGAAACATGCATATAACATCACCAGAAATTGGCAAGGAGATCCCTGCGTGCCAACCAGTTATAGTTGGGAAGGTCTGACTTGTAATTACATTTACAACATCCCATCGGTCACTTCACTGTGAGTAGTCATTTGATCCTTTCAAAATTTTGTTAGACGTGGCCTGGTAATCTAACTAAGATATTATTTCCATACCCGTTAACTAACATTTTAGTTCAAGACTATAATGTATGCCTCTATTTATGCTGTTTATTGATACATCAATGTTGTTCACTGAGCTATAAAGGAGTATATATGTGTTGCGACTTCCAATATCTCTCTTCGTCCTTGCTTGTACTGTGTTTGTTATCGCGAGATTTCCATTGTTGACAACATATGGGCAGGAACTTGAGCTCAAGCAAATTGAGTGGAGAGATAATTACTTCATTTTCCGACCTCACATCGTTGGAGTCCCTGTAAGTAGTATTTAAGTTATTGCCAACTTGATGAATTTCTTTAGTCACATTCATTATCCAAGCAATCCATAATAGCTCTCATGTAATAATTTCTTGTGATTAATATGTCACATGTTGTAGGGATTTGTCCAACAATCAATTGATAGGAGAAATACCTGAAGTTTTAGCAAAACTACCCAAGTTAAAACTACTGTAAGTTGCAACGTTTTATCGTACACAGAAATGATGTTTCCTAGCTAATTCCACAAATATTGTGATTTTCTCACGTGATGTGTTAGCAGTAATTTGTCAGGGAACAATCTAAGTGGTTCAATTCCAAAGGCTCTTGGGGAGAAGAACGGCACTTCGTTGATATTGAGGTTTGGTTATTACACCATTCTGAATTCATTCCTCTTCAGTCGCTTTGTCTTCATAGAATGGAACTTCTTCTGTTTGATTGAGAATATTCAGAAGAACATGTTCTATTTTAGTTTCAAAACTAGTAATTGTCTTCATTTAAGATACTATTAACAGCCTCATTAATGCCATATTCTAGTTGAACAATATACAGATAATGTTCTATCTGTCAAGTATAGTGTAACTTCTGTTAAGTTATTTCCCATTATATTTCGGTTAAGCATTCTGTTATGTATCTCTCCAGACTCTTGTGTATATATACCCATTTTCTCATTAATGAAAGGTATCTTATCGTTTTCCCCATATCCAGTCACATAGTATCCAGAGCCTTTTGAAAGGTATCTTATCATTTTCTCATTAATGAAAGGTATCTTATCATTTTCTCATTAAGAATCTGGTGGTGTTCAAGAAAATTTTACTGTAAAGCCTCCCCTGCTCCTCACTCCTTCACCAACAGCTATTTCCACAGCCTCTGTTCTTCCTCAATCCTCGTCTGAACAATATCAACACCTCCTTATTCTTCTTGCCTTGCCTCAAACATCTTCTTCAGTGAATCACATCACCTCTTCTTCTTTGCCATCTTGAGGTAAATGTAATTCTATTTCTACAACTACTCTTGTTACTTGGATCATTGATTCAAGTGACACTGATCATGTTTGTAGTTCTTTAGCTCTATTTTCTTCTTACCATTCAATTTCTCTTGTCAAAGTTAGCTTACCCACAGGTTCTCATGCTATCTCTACCATTTCTGGCACATTTACTATATCTCATAATCTGGTTCTGACTAATGTCTTATTCCTTCCAAATTTTTCCGTTAATATCATTTCTGTTTCTTATCTAACTTTGAGTCTCAATTGCTTTCTTATGTTTTCTCGTTCTTAGTGCCAGATACTCTTGATCCTTTTCTGATGATTGGTTCAGCTAAACTACTTGAAGGGCTATACATTCTTGATGTAGATATGTCACTACCTCACTCCACCTCCCGAGTTCATGTTGCTGCTACTTCCTCTGATTCAGGTCACACCCTATGGCATCTCCATTTGGGTTACATTTCTCATTCTATTTCTTCTATATTACATAAATCTTTTTGTGAAATTCCTTGTATCCCTCAACCCCTTCCTTGTGATACTTGCCATTATGCTAAGCAAAAACGTCTTGCTTTTCCTGTAAGCATAAGCTCAAGCAATAAAATTTTTGATATGATTCATGCTGATATATGGTGTCCCTTTTCTGTTCCCTCTTTTCAAGGTTACAAATATTTTCTCACTATAGTTGATGACTTTTCTCACTACACTTGGATTTTCTTTATGAAAAATAAGTCTGAAACCAGAACACATATTACAAATTTTTTTGCTCTTGTTAAAACTCAATTTTCTACATCCATTAAAATCCTAAGATCTGACAATGGTGTAGAATTTCTCATGATTGACTTTTTCAAATCAAAGGGTGTCATACACCGAACCTCTTGTGTTAATACATCACAACAAAATGGTATTGTGGAACGTAAATACCAACACATACTAAATGTTTCTAGAGCTTTAATTTTTCAATCTCAGCTTCCTATTTCCTATTGGCCTTTTGCTGTCATGTATGCCACTTAGTTATCAATTGTCTTCCTTCTTCTATTCTCCACAATCACATACCATTTGGCAAACTTTTCAATCATTGTCCTTCTTACACTCATTTTAAAGTTTTTGGTTCTCTTTGTTTTGCCTTTATTTCTCCCACTCATTGTTCAAAATTTGATCCAAGAGCAAGAAAATGTGTTTTTCTTGGTTTCACCACAAGGTCTAAAGCTTTTATCTTACTTGATTTGCATAATCATCAAATTTTTCTTTCACGAGATGTCATCTTTTATGAGCTTGTCTTTCCATTCAAAACTGATCATACCACAACTAATTTTTCTTCAATTCCCACTATTCAACCTCCATCTTCACTCCTTGATGATGACCCTGTCCGTTCTTCCCCCCTCGCTTCACCTTCCCAGCCACACACTTCTTCACCTGTCTCGGTTTTTCAACTTGATTTTTCATCTCAGTGTAGCTCTCCCCCTGTTGCTTCCCATTCCCATTCTACTCACCCTTCCATCTCATAGCCCCTTAGACGCTCAACTCGACCTCGTTGTCCTCCCACATATCTACATGATTATCATTGTGCCCTACTTTCTTCCACTGACCAATCATCAGGTAACTACACTTCTCATTATCCTTTGTCTTCTGTTTTATCTTATTCTACTCTTTTTTCAACTTACAAAAATTTTGTCTTAGCTGTTTCCACTATTCTTGACTCTAAAACCTATCATCAAGCTGTGAAACATTTTGAGTGGAGGGAAGCAATGAATGTAGAAATCCATGCTCTTGAACAAAACCAAACCTGGACACTTACATCTTTACCACTCGGCAATAAACCTATTGGTTGTAAACAGGTGTTTAAAACCAAGTTCAAAGGCAATGGTGACATTAATCGATATAAAGCTCGTTTAATAGCTAAGGGTTATACTCAAACTGAGGGTCTTGACTATTTTGACACTTTCTCACCTGTAGTTAAAATGACTACTCTCAGACTTTTACTTTCTATTATTGTTGCCAAAAAATGGTTCTTACATCAGCTGGATGTTAACGACTCTTTCTTACATGGTGGTCTTCGTGAGGAAGTTTATATGGAGCTTCCTAAGGGCTTTTCAGCCCCTCAACCTAATATGGTCTACAAATTACAAAAATCTCTATATGGCCTAAAGCAGGCCAGCAGGCAATGGTACTCCAAGCTTTCCACAGCTTTATTATCTTTTGGCTATACATAATCTACTTCCGATCATTCCTTATTTTTTAAAGCTGTTTCTTCTGCATCTTTTACTGTCATCTTGGTATATGTAGATGATGTTGTATTAGTAGGAAATGACATCTCTGAAATCACTAGAATTAAACACCTTCTTGACAAAGCCTTCACTATCAAGGATCTAGGTTAACTTCGGTATTTTCTTGGCCTTGAACTAGCATGTTTAAAAGAAGGCATCTTCCTCTCTTAGCAAATGTTTGCCTTAAAACTTCTTGATGACACTGCTTTTCGAGGGTGTAAACCAGCTTCTACACCCATGGATCCTCACCTAAAGCTTTCAAAGGACAAAGGTTCTCTAGTTGATAATCCAGAGCTCTATAGAAAATTGATAGGTAGGTTGCAGTATCTAACTACTACCAGACCAGATTTAAGCTTTATCACTCAATAACTTAGTCAATTCATGTATGCTCCATGAGACACTCATCTGCAAGCAGCTCATAGGGTTATGTGGTACATTAAGTCATCACTTGAGGCTGGTTTATGCTTCTCTTCTGTCTTTGATTTACAGCTTAAAGCCTTCAGAGATTCAGATTGGGCTGGCTATGTCGACTCTAGACATTCAGTCACAAGGTTTGCCATCTTTCTTGGCCCTTCCTTGACTTCATGGAAAGCCAAAAAGCAAGCTACAGTATCACGATCATCATCAGAAGCTGAGTACCATGCCTTAACCTCCACAACTTGTGAACTTTAGTGGCTACTTTATTTGTTGAATGACTTTGATGTTTCTCACCTTAATCTTGCTGCCTTGTACTGTGATAATCAATCTGCTCTTCAAATAGTAGCTAATCCCACATTTCATGAACGCATAAAACACAGAACTGGACTGCCACCTAGTTCGAGAAAAAGTACAAGCCAAAGTCATTCATTTGCTACCTGTTAAATCATCTGACCAGCTTGCTGATGTTTTCACCAAGCCCCTTCATTCCACACATTTTCACGAGCCCATTTCCAAGCTTGGCATGAAAAATATATATGCTCAAGCTTGCGGGGGGTGTCAAGTATAGTGTAACTTCTGTTAAGTTATTTCCCATTATATTTTGGTTAAGCATTCTGTTATGTATCTCTCTAGACTCTTGTGTATATATATCCATTTTCTCATTAATGGAAGGCATCTCATCATTTTTCCTATATCCAGCCACACTATCATATGACTCACTTATGAACTGGCGCTTTTTTTTTCACCCTAGTTTGGATGGAAATCCAAGTCCTTGTCAAATGGGTGCTTGCAAAACCAAAACAAAGCCGCCTATCGTACCACTTAGTGCTTCTGTAGTAGCTTCTGTAGCAGTTCTCATATTAGTGATCTACATTTCTGTGAAGTTTTGCAAACATAAAAGGGGAAAACAAAGTGATATGGAAGGCATGCCAGGTGAGCTTACACCCTCATTCCCTACTTAAATATAAATGGCTTTATAAGTGTCATTAAATATTTAGTAAAAGTTCAAGATTAATTTGGATATTTTTTTTTAAAAAAAGATTACCCTTTGTGACATACTTATGAAAGGCAAATGCTTTCAACTAATGTTATCCATCTTCGTAAGTCAATCATTTGTTTCTTGTATATAGGAACGGAGGAGTATACGATCCTTTACAAGATTTAATGAAACATGCATGATGCATTTTTAAAAATGCCATTTTCTTAAATCTTCTTAGCGTAAGTGCTTAATGGCTTTGATATCCTCCCCACAATGAACTATTAATGTAGATCAATCAAAGGGAAATTTTGGAAATTTGTAAAAAGTTTTAATATTTAATTGGTTTTAACTAATTTAATCTCATAAAAGTAGTTAATATGACTTTATAAAAACGACAGAAATGAGTAATTCAAATTTTATGTATGTATTTGCATACCTAAAATAATTCAAATTCAATTATTAATATATGATGCTATTGGAATTTCATTGCCATTGTTGTAGTGAGGATTTCTTCATTTAGAAAAGACGGGAGTCTAAAATCCAAAAATCGTGCATTTAGTCACTCGGAAGTTATTAGCATTACCAATGACTTTGAAACCGTAATTGGAGAAGGGGGATTCGGAAAAGTGTACCTGGGAACACTACAAGATGATACACAAGTTGCAGTCAAGTTACTCTCAAAGTCATCACAACAAGGGTACAAGGAATTTCAGTCAGAGGTTAGAAGCAAAAATCATTAATCATTTGATGTTGGATTTGAGTGTTTTCCTCTAATTTACATTGAACTCCAACACATTACTTTGTTGATGATAATGAAGCCGAAGTTCAAAATAAATGCAGGCAGAACTTTTAATGGTTGTTCATCATAGGAACTTGGTTTCTCTTGTTGGCTATTGTGACGATGGTGACACAAAAGCATTACTTTATGAATACATGATTGAAGGAAATCTCCGACAGAAATTATCAGGTTTGTTAATTACTTTTTGACTAATATACTTTTAATCCTTTAACTTTATATAAAGCTTTATTTTGATCCTTTAACTTAAAAAGCATATATTTTCAGTCATTTAACTTTAAAAATATTTTGCAGATAAGAATCCATGTGCTTTGAAATGGAAAGAGAGACTTCAAATAGCATTGGATGCAGCATGTGGTATGCAAAATACACTTCTCCTCTCTTTGAAATTGTCAACCCACTTCCTTTGCTTTCATTCATTTTCATTGTTGTCAGTGACTGTTTGTTAATTTCAGCGTTAGAAATTATCTTATTTCTCATTAAAAATGCAGGGTTGGACTATCTACATAATGGTTGTAAGCCAGCAATAATCCATAGAGACTTAAAAACTTCTAACATCTTACTAAGTATACCTATGCAAGCCAAGATTGCTGATTTTGGATTATCCAAAGCTTTTGGCAATGATATTGACACTCATATATCAACTCGCCCAGCTGGCACATATGGCTATTTAGACCCTGAGTATGTAAATTTTGTCATCTTTTTTTTTTTTCTTCTCCTTTTCCAACTTCGTTGATACCCAAAATATAAATTTGTTCTATTTTACTCAACTTTAGCAAAATATATAATAGAATAGCTTATTAGCATTTGTTCATCATTCAAACCCATCTAGCAATACATATAATTTCAATTTAAAGTAACTGTACGGCCTTGAAACTTAGCATTGATGATTAAAAATAGACGACCTGCTTAGCTTAATCAATTCCTTCAAAAGCTGATTAATGTGGCAAAATTTGCAGGTTCCATAGATCTGGAAATTTGAACAAGAAAAGCGATGTTTACAGTTTTGGGATAATTCTGCTTGAGCTAATGACTGGACAGCGAGCAATAACTGAAACGTCTGATGGGCCACGACACATATCTGATTGGGTAAATCCAAAGCTTGAGACTGGGGATATCCAAGCCATTGTGGATCCAAGATTAGAAGGAAAATTCCGTAGTGCTTCAGCATGGAAGTTTCTAGAGATAGCCATGAGTTGCACTGCACCAGCAGCAATCCAAAGACCTGATATAAGTTCTGTTGTAATTGATCTCAAGCAATGTGTGGCTATGGAAGCATCACTGGAAACAAGTTATTCTCTGTCTGGATCATACTCTCCTCCATCTGCTAGGTAGGGTTGTTTGTAGCTGCATGCATGGTCTTTCTCTGAATTGATTATCCAATCGCGGCAGAGAGATTTGTTTTGCTTAGTCAAACTGTTTGCTTGTTTGCTTTGTTCTAACGAACCCATTTGATCATGTTTGGCCTCAGAGATAGAGAAATTTGCAAATTACATAAACTAAACCACAGGATGCATATGCAATGTAGGTTCTGTTGCTTGCGCAATATATTTTATCAGACATGTGACTATATTATATGGGGTTTAGAAAATATAGAAGTGATTGTGCCTAAAATGTCATATTTGCTTAGCTTAATTTTCTCAATGGCTAATTAATCATGCGAAAAATATAGACTCCATAATGCTGAAGACTAAACAAAATGTAGAGAAATTTCTCCAATAATGAACTACATGGCTCAACTTTTAGCAAAATTTGGTAGAATAGCTTGAAATAGCATGTCGTCATTTGACCACATCCAACATCACACTTTTCTGGGCCAAATCCATGAAAATGAAAATTTATTGATGGATACTCAATCTTGAAAAATTTACAGTTTCCGTTGCTTTGGAAACCTGAATAACATAAGCAATATTTATAGTTTTGGGGTAAATTTACTTGAGCTCATGAGTGGTTGGCCGGCAGTAATATATAGGAGCGCCTGCTGGCAACACAAATCACATATCTTATTGGGTGGCTCCAAAGCTGGAGATTGGGGATATCCAACCGATTATGGATCCCAGATTAGGGGGAAAATTCAATAATGCTTTAGTATGGAAATTTTTAGAGATAGCCATGGCTTGCATTCCGCAAGTTGCAATTCAAAGGCCTGATATAGAACATGTAGGAGATGATTTAACGGAATGGCTGGCCTTGGAAATGTCCCTTCAAAATGCCGAAAGTAACAGTGGAACTTCTGGTTCTGCTTTGAGTACCACTTGTTTTCCACTTGAATCAAAATCAGGTCCCTTATACTATTTTGGAATTTTAAAATATTATAAAATGATAATATTGCCCTTACTTACTGTGATTACTTTCATATAATTATTGATTACTGTAATTTAATTATTGACTATTTTCATTTTCAAAGTTTTAGTGACTACTTTTATGTAATTATTGACTACATAAAAATAGTAAATAATTAAACAAAAAGTAGTTACCAAATTTTCAACAACACATGATGCATTTTTTTAATTTTTGAAATAAAAATAGTCTATAGTTAAAAAAAGTAGTTAATACATAAAAAAAAGTAGTTATCAGAGCTTCAGCAACTAGTCACTAGAGTTTCGGTGAGTTTTGGCAGCAAGCCACTGGGAGGGTTGCCGGCACTAGAGCTCTGGTGGCTAGAAACCAGTTGAAGGTGCTGCAGTAGCAATATTTAAAAAGAAAAAAAAATAGTGAAGGGTATCTATGTAATTTTGCAAGACTTGAAACTTCCAAAATAGTATTAGGGGTCTAAATTGAGATTTTAAAATTTACTCATACTTATTTGTCTTTTACTAATTTTCAGGATATTTTATTGTCTTTTTTCCAAACATCCAACATTCTAATTTTTTTAAAAATGCATTTAATATCTTATTTTTTATGATGTATTTAGTACTGTAATTTTATTTTTATGGTGCAACTAGCACCTGATATTATATGTTCAGTTACATTCAATATCATAATTTTTATTTTTTAGGGTATTAAATGCACTAAAAACAAGATTAATTTATTTTGATCACCATTTCAGATTGGAAGACCAATTAATTTACAACTGTTCAACTTCTATGTTGTTTCCTCTAATTTTAGAATTTTTAGCCTCTTAAATATTTTTGAAAAATAAGCTTAATTTTTTAAAAAAAGAAAAGTGAAAAAATAATACTACTGAAATGGGGATATTTTTTATTGCAATCATTTCTATTTTGGAAGTCGAATTTAACATGTAAATTGTTGGGAAAAATTTTAACATATAAATATTTAAAATCGTTTTGTCAAGATTTAAAATTTCAACGTAGAATTTATTATAATTACAGACTTTTTTTGCCCAATATTATAACTAAAGACGTTAATATTAAAAGAGTGAAAAAATATATTACTCATTGGATTCTAAATATTAAATTCATTTTTTAGTCTAAATTACATTATAAAATAAATCTTATATTTAGGATCAAAGTAGTATATATATATATTTACCATTCATATATGTGTTCACAAATGTGGACCAGAGATATTAAAATTTTCTTGTTGGCTCAGCTCGTCCTACAAATACAAATCGCACGTATCAGTGATGAGTGATGACTGCATCCATCGGCCTGTTTGGATCTGACATAAGAGATGAGCCTTTCATTTAGAGAACCAACAACCCCTCTTTATTGAGCCTTTAATTTCTAGTTTCTTCGACTTGTTGACTTTAGAGAACTTCTCGTCACTCTGTGAAAGAAACTTGAAGATTCTTCGACGACTTGTTGACTTCAGAGAACTTCTCGTCACTTTGCGAAAGAAACTTGAAGGCTAAGCCTAAGCGTGCTGGCTAAACATGCAACCTTAGGTTTAAGCAAAACTAAAAGAAATTAAACGGCTCCGGCAGCAACCCAATTTTGATTTTACCTGAGAAATAAATTACAGGCTATTAAAATTATTATTCCAGCACTCAATTCACAAAAAGAAAACGATCGAGAAAGAAGCATATTGATGTTTCTAGTGTTCCTGCCAAACTCCCCGGACACTTTGTTTTTGGTCATCGATTACGATTTCCTAGGTGAGGTGATCCACTTGTAACGGAACTGTGCGGCCATTCAACTGCATTTGCATATGACTTGAATTCCTTTTCTTCTTGTGCTGTCCAACTTGTCGGCAAAGCGAGAGTAGAGCTGATAAAACAAACTGGCGGCACGAATATCGAGCAGTGCAGGCCAACCCGAATTGCGGGCTGGACCTGTATTACCGGCTCTCATTGAACGGCCTAATAAATGTTTCGTTTTGCCAAGACCAGGGGGTGTTTGGCAAAACCAAAACCTAGGTTTCAGAATCACTTTTCCGCAAAACGAGGTAACCTCCTCCATATATTTACTTCGTAATCCGTAAAAGCACTTCTGAAACCATGATTTGGTTTCTATCCAAACACCTCCCAGGTCCAAGACCGAGCCAACCGCGCGTTTGACCAATCATAGTTGTCGCGTACGAGCCTTTTTCTGTTCAATGGTTCAAGCCGCCCAGTTGCAATTAATGGTGATGTGTCAGATTATATATTACCCAAAGAAGTGTTGATGAGCCCTGCAATTCGATCACAGAACGGTTCGTCTCCCTTAGTTATCGACTTGGGGAAGTACATTAAGATCCTGTTTGGTACGAAACATTAAAAATGAGAGATTGAAATTAAGATTGCAATTGGTAAAAAAAAAAATCATTAACATAGTATTTGGCATGAGCTATTGTTTTTTATATGGGATTAGACAAACCTATAGAAGTGAGATCGGGGAATACCATTTCTCCTCGTGGTATTCTCCAATCCCACATATATGGGTTTGACTAATCTTATATAACAAGTAATCTCTTATGCTAAATACTCTTTTAATAGATTTTCTCAATTACAATCTCAATCTCAATCCCTCGTTTTTAATGCTTCCTATCAAACGCAACCTAATAGTACATATTATGAGTACTATGTTTACTTCCATTTCTTTAACTTCGATCATCCTCAAGATCAGCAAAGAAAGATGGAAATTGCTTTCACTGATACCATCCGAGAGAACATAACTTTTCAATACGGGGTGCACAAAACCATGGTGAAGATGGTACCTACAGGAGAAGATCTTAATAGCATTTCAATCACATGCAGCCCAGATTCTGGTTTGCCCCCCATGATCAATGCTTTTGAGCTCTAACGAGTACTGCCCCAACCGAATTCACCAACTCGAGAGGGGGGTGGCGAGTATTGTATTACATATAATTTTTTTATCTTATCACTCTCCTTTACTCACTTCTTAAGAAGTAGCGCCCATGTTAGGCGAATTTAAAGATGGTCTATCATCTTGTTTAAAATCAACTAAGACCAAAATCAGTCTTCTTTTTTTTTTTTTTATGTGGACTTAAGGTCAGTTTCTTTGAGATTATTAAAAAATGATTTTTAGTCAAAGTAAACATAAAGAAGATGCTGGGAGCAAGGGGGTGCATAAGTGGGGAAGAAATATTGCCTCCGGTCTACAACATAGGAAATCAGTTAACTTTTATCACATAACAAGAAAAAGAAGTTTAGTAATTAAATATGTCCTAAAATAATAAGGTTTTCCCTGTTTTACCCGTAAAAAAAATCATAAAATTGCTTTCAATATTACATTTATGTTATTTCTCATCTGTTGTATGTGGGGTCTTTCTCTTCATGAGTTTTAAGTTGTCGTGAGACGCTAGTGATCATTCAACCTTACTGCATAAGCACACATCTTAATCCTTACTTGCTAGCATTTGTATACACTAGTACACTACATATGGTAGTGTAGGATTGGGGATATGGGCAAAAGTGAAAAAAAATCACATTAATTATCCTGATAACGTCTTATGTTTTAAAACACAATTTTCTCCTAACCATCGTTTTATTATGGACCGGAGGGAGTATATGTTTAGCTTATTTTTATAAGTTGAAAACATTTTTTTCTGATAAAATATTTATGATCAACTTAAATTTCTCTCAACAACTCCCTCATGCTCTCAATAACTTCCTCATGTTTAATTAACCGAAGTCACTTTTTCTTTAGCCCTTAATTCCTATCATATTTTAATTTTTCTTCCTATGAGTCCTTCTTTTACTTGAATTATTTTTAGGTTTTAACACATGGCTCTTTGATTCTAAATCCTCATGTTTATGTATTGAAAAACTCTGAAATGCTGCTTATATCGGAGATAACAGTGGGTGCTGTACGGATTTGTCAAACATGCATATAACATCACCAGAAATTGGCAAGGAGATCCCTGCATGCCAAGCAATTATAGTTGGGAAGGTCTGGCTCGTAATTACATTGACAACATCCCGTCGGTCACTTCATTGTGAGTAGCCTTTTGATCTTTTAAATTTTTGTTAGACTTGATAACCAAAGGAAATAATATTTCGTACCAAATAACGAACTTTTTTGTTCAAGACTCTAGTATATATATATTCGTTGTTCATGCTGTTTATTGATATGTTAATATCGTTCAAGGAGCTGTAAAGAAATTTATATGTGTGTGTGTTGTGACGTCCAATATATCTCTCTTCGTCCTTGCTTGTCTTTATTATAGTGAAATTTCCATTCTCAGGAACTTGAGCTCAAGCAAATTGACTGGAGAGATAAGTACTTCATTTTCCGATCTCGGATTCATTATCCAAGCTGCAGGTAATAATTTCGTAGGATTAATATGTCTCATCTCGTAGGGATTTGTCCAACAATCAATTGACAGGAGAAATACCTGAAGTTTTAGCGAAGCTACCCAATCTGAAACTACTGTAAGTTGCAATGCTGTAGTATAATACTGTCTAGTCCCACAAATATTGTGGTTTTCTCACGTGGTGTATTAACAATCTAAGTGGTTCAATTCCAAAGGCTCTGAGGGAGAAGAACGGCACTTCTTCAACATTGAGGTTAGCTTATTGCAACACTCTTAATTCATTCCTCTCCGCCAGTAGCATGCATTGTCTGCATAGAATGGCACTTCTGTTTTGGTTGAGAATATATATTCAGAAGAATTAATTCTATATTCTCTCACTCGTGTATTTTAGTTTCAAATATATATAATAATACTTGTCTTGATTTAAGATATTATTAACAGCGGTAATTAATGTGATATGCTAGTTGAAAAATATACGGATAATGTTACGTTCTGTCAAAGAACTGACAGTTATATATGTACTGGTGCTTTTTCATCCTAGTTTGGGTGCAAATCCAAGTCTCAGTCAAATAGGTGCTTGCAGAAGCAAAACAAAGAAGCGCATTATGCTGCTCATTGCATCTGCAGTAGCTTCTGTAGCATTCCTTGTAATAGTAGTCCGCATTGCCGTGGTTTTTTTGCAAAGAAAGACAAAGTATCGCAGGTGAGCTCACATCGTCACTCTTCTTTATATCCATTTTCCCTTTATGAATCTTTGAAAAGAATTCATTGTTTGCCAAGTTCGTGCTTTAATTTACTCGTAGCGTAGGATTAATCCTCACTACATCATATTCATTTGTAAGAAAGTCCCCCCATTTCTGAATACAGGAGTCCTTTTTTTTTTTTTTTGCACCTTTGGGTTGTTTATAAGACCATTTTCTCAATTAATTATTTGACAAAAACGCTCCTATATTAAATATGCGCGAAGTTACTTAATGGAGGTGTTTTCACGTTAATTATATTGAAGAGCATTTTTGGCAAAACAGTATTAGTTAATGATAAATTTGTTCTTTTTAACTAGAAAATTACCTCTCTTAATTATTACAAATAGTTAAAGCTCCTTGGAAAAAAAAAAATCTGACCGAGTACTCTTAAATTGATTGACTATAATCAAGTAGAGAGCTGTTAAAGTTGAAAGGTTATAAAGTGCTAATTATAGTGTATGTTTGTTGGCAAAGAAAAAGAAAAAAAGAAAAAAATTATAGTGCATGTTTATCTCTACAATTATTGAAGTTCAAATACTAATACATGATGCAATTGGAATTTCATTTTTCATTACTGCAGAGGTGATTTCTTCGACCAGAAGATACAGGAATATTCTAATTCCAAATTCCAATGGTCATGTGTTTAATCCCTCGGAAGTTCATAGCATCACCAATAGATTTGAAACCGAAATTGAAGGGGGGTTTGGAAAGGTGTACCTGGGCGAACTAGATGGCAGGCAAGTTGCAGTGAAGGTACTGTCAGGGTCATCACAGCAAGGATATAAGGAATTTCAGCGTGAGGTTAGTGGCAAAAATCATTAATTATTTTATAGTATTGAAATCCAACACATTGATTTGTTTAGCGATAATAATAGAGCTGAAGTTCAAAATAAATGCAGGCAAAACATTTTGATGGTTGTTCATCACAGGAATTTGGTTTCTCTTGTTGGCTGTTGTGATGATGATGACATGAAAGCTCTAGTTTATGACTACATGGCTGAAGGAAATCTACAACAAAAATTATCAGGTTTGTTAAGTATTATAGCTTTATCCATTCCATAATGCCAGAATATATATATATATATATATATATAGAGAGAGAGAGAGAGAGAGAGCTGACTCTTTAATTTATTAGATGGAAATTCTTCAATGCACTTTAATTTCGCATATTTCTCGAATCATGATAACTTTTTAAAACAAAAAGGGGAAAAAAGGAAGGATGGCAACTAAGTCATATGTATCATTATTTAGTTTCTGGGGTATTACATGACATTTTTCTATGCACAACCTAATATTTTGCAGATAAGAACCCGCATCCTTTAAAATGGAATGAGAGACTTCAGATAGCATTGGACGCAGCGCGTGTTGTGTACAATAATAGTCTTTTCCTTTCTTTGAAATTGTCAATCCATATTTGCTTTTATTCTTTTTCATTGTTATTTTTAGTGATTTTCCTCTTTATTGTAACTTTTAAAATTGTCTTGCTTCTCAATAAAAATGCAGGATTGAACTAGCTCCATAATAATTGTTTGCCAATCATAACTCATAGAGATCTAAAACCTTCCAACATCTTGTTAAGCACAGGCATGCAAGTTAAGATTGGTGACTTTGGATTGTCAAGAGCTTTTCATGATGATACTAGCACTGCATATTCAACTTGTCCTGGTGTTGGCGCTTTTGGTTATCGTGATCTTGAGTACGGTTTTTTTCCTTCTAATTTTTAAACTTCTCTCACTATGAAAACTCTTGAACTTAGTTTTAAGCAATTCATTGAAATAGAAATTTGCCCTGTTTATCTAAGGACTTTAGAAAAGTATAATAATTGTAAACATATTTGCCCAAGTCCTTTTTATAAAGGGCCTAAGATTTAATTTGTCTTAGTTCTTTTTATAAGTTACTACTTGTGGTTGTCTAAATATTTAATGTGCTTTACTATTTTGCTCCTAATTAATTTTATAGATTGCATTAATTAAAAGGCTTATTACATTCTCTTTCATGCTTTCTCTCTCTTACTTACCCTTTATAAATAAGGATATTTTGGAAAAAAAAATCATTTTTTACATATTTATTGTTTTTAACTATTTTTTTGAATCGCGTAAATTAATTATTGGGCTCTTATAAAAAAGACAGGAGGGAGTATCATTTTAAACACATCTAGCATCACACACACATAAAAGTGCAACCCAAAATAATCCTCAACTGATGACTAAAATATCATATTTGCTTAGCTTAATTTTCTTTATATGGCTAATTAATCATGCAAAATTTATAGATTCTACACTGCTAAGAATCTAAACAAAATTTAGAGAAATTTCTCTTGCAGTGAATATCTGTATAGCTCTACTTCTAACAAAATTTAGCAGAATAACTTGAAAATGGTATGTTCATCACTTGAAAAGATTTAGCATCAGCTTTTTTTTTTTTGGCCAAATACATGAAAACGCAAATTCATTGATGGATACTCAATCTTGACAATGTTGCAGAATCCAGGACTGTAGAAATCTGAATAAGAGAAGCAATGTTTATAGTTTTGGAGTAATTTTACTTCAACTTATAAGCGGTCGGCCGGCAGTAATGAAAGCACCTGATGGCAAACCAAAGCACATATCGGAATGGGTGGATCCAAAGATGAAGAGTGAGGACATCCGATCCATTATGGATCCGAGATTAGAGGGACAATTCAATGCTGCTTCTGTAGAGAAATTTTCAGACATAGCCATATCTTGTACTCAACGAGCTGCAATTCAAAGGCCTGACATAAAAGACGTAGAAGCTGTTTTAAGGGAATATCTGAAGTTGGAAATTTCTGGCTCTGCAATTGAATCAAAGTCAGCTCCATTTTGACCCAAAAAAAAAAAACTCAGCTCCATGTTCTGGGTAGGATTATTTGCAGAGAGATTGTTTTGTTTTGTCGAGAAATCCGTTTCTTTGCTCCAGAATATCAATGAATCCTATGTTACTTGGATACTTCAGCGCACACACTGCAGAGAAGGCGATAAAGACTGCCATGGCATGCACTTCTTATTTACAAGGTAGAGGAAGAATCTCCTTTTTTTTTTTTTTGGTGTGAATTGGTATGTTATGTGGATGTTTGTTGAATAAAAAGGCAGATATGTAAAATGAATTTTGAAGCTTGTTGGCTTTCACTTGGTGAATGGTGATACAGTAGAATTTATTGATCTGATTATGTTCACGTAGTAATGTATAGTTGGGGACAATATAAAGTACAAGACTTTGAAATTAATAACTAATTAAGAAGAATTCCCTTAGCAAGTAAAGAGATTCTATCTTCATCTGAAGTAATAATATTGGATGCGAGGACGAGGGAAAAACAGAGAAGGTTTTAGCTGTGTTGCAATGATATTCAGTATTTATATTTTGATTCTCAACCATCATTTTGTTCAGCAAGATTACAATTTTATATTCAATAATTTTTCAAAGGGGTACATTGGAAAATTACAAACTGAGATGTAGTCAAAGATACTTTCTCTCTTTTAGCCAGTGAATTGGAATTAGTGTAAGAGCCAAATTTCATAGTAAGCCATAAAAATTTGGAGGATTATCATGCGATCCTTAAAAAATATATAATGACTAAAAGTTTTAATGATAAGTAAGCAAATATGTTGTCATTTTTTACTCTTTAACTTGTCATTACAAGCCGTTTAGTTATTATAAAACTTTTTTATGAACATGTTTTTTTTGGGGACCTTATTTCAATTCTCCCTAAAAAAATTTTCCTTGCTGTGTTTATTTGGAACGTCGTTATAACAAACCAGAAACAAATAATATGGTAGAATTTGCCATCAAATTTTTTCCAAACAAACTACAAAATCTATTAATTTACTGCAAATATGCAGAAAAGCTAATTTCATTTTTAAAATTTTATAAAGGATAAATTTGTGACAACTTAATTAATGTAATTTAATTAGTTTCCTTAATAATAAGTGGATGGAGTATCTGAATTTGAATTTGAGATTCAATTAGCATCATTGTCTACTACAATTTTAAGAGTTATATAAGCATACAGTCTCAAGCAAAAGTAAGATCATCTTCCAACAACTTAATTAGAAAACCAAAATATTTTAGATAAAATAATAATTCTTGAGACAACTAATATTTGGGCCTATAAATAATTAAATAATAGATCATCGTCATCGTTAAGCATACAACAGTTCGTATTATATGGGCCCTGGGAAAAAGAGCCCGATCGATCCTACAACGTATCAGTCCATAATTAATACCAAAACCCTGTATGATCTTATCCCAAAGAATCATTGATTCATTTTATATGTCTATATCTCGATGACTAAGTCAAATACTTCTCTTACCCTATTTATAAAACACTTTCAAAATATTTTATATAGATTAAGAAAAATTTTAAATTACATTAACTTTCTATTAAAATATAATACTTTTTCAATTTTGTCCCTATTTAATATATGCACTGTTCAAGAAATAACTGTCCATACTATAATAAATGAAGGACAAAATAGTACACTCATATTTAAAATTTAATAAAGTTACTTATAAATAGGATGGATAAAAACTTTCTCTGTCTTATAAATAAGACTAGAGGAGTAATATTTTTTTTCCATCTAAGGAAACAAAGACTACTGGTCCGAAAGACTATAAGAAGCTTTAGTTTTTGAAAGAACCACGCTCAGCAGGTAGTTTTGTCTGGCTAATCGGCTCTTAATGAAACACCATTATAAAAAGCACAAATTTACAGGAGAACTACACACCTGAAAAGCCAGTTGTAGAGTTGAGGAACCCAAAGCTTTATAAGGTGGTTCCTTTAAGAAAACCCACCCAATTATTGTATGATTCATAACAACGAAATCAAGCATGCCATCTCCTACTTATAGGGAGACAAGTGTTACTGTTCAACATTTCGTGCTTCTCATGACTATATCTTTTCTTCTTTTCTTTTCTTTTGCTTTATTTCACCTACCCACTCCACACGGTTCCTTTCATTTCTTCTTTTTGGCAAAGTGTGAGTGGAAACTCATTCTAGCATAACACATCTCGTAGCTTTCCCATAAAGTATAATTTCTTTTACAAATATTCCACATCAGCTCAATTATTAATCTGGCCCAAAAGAAGCTCAATTATTTCACATACTAAATAACTTAAATAAATAATATATTGCAGAATATCTCTGATGTGAAATATGAGATGTTACGTTTTTGTGATACTTACGCCTTATAATTATCCAGCAATTCGGAATTTTTTTCAAAAAGAAAAATAAACTTTTTTGCTATCATTATGCTGGATTAAAAAACAACAAGCTACACAAAATAAGCTTAAACACAACAAAAAAGCAACCTTACACAAAATGGCTTAAATAATAAAATAGTACTCCTCCAATGCTAAATATAAGACCCATTTTGTAGTGTAATTTAAATATGAGACCCATTTTGTAGTGCAAATTACACTACAAAATGGGTCTTATATTTAGAATTGAAGGGAGCACTAATTTTAGCGTCTATAAAATCGAGATATTAATAGTTAAATAAATACAAAGTAAATTTCATATTTAGTTTTCTAAACTACATAAAACTAATTAACGACAAAAAAATAGTTTGTTAGGAATGGCCCCCCAAAAAAGGTTGATAAGAGTATTGTCTGAAAAAAGAAATGTGATTGAGTCAACATTTATTTTCTTTGGAGTAGATGCAATAATGTGAGATGTCGTCTTCTGATTCGAGGCGTAAATGTAATCGGTGATAATTTTCCAAGTCTTCTTTTTTTCCGTTCTTGATACGCACTTACTTTTTTTCATAATAATATTTATTAATTTAGTAATGATCAGTGCTTAATTTTTCCCAACTGATAATGCTCTCAACTCATCGTGCTCCTCACCTCTGTCTCTCTCTCTGTCTAAACCATGAAGATGGCAGCACTATGGATTGTGGCTTTGCTTGTATCTGTCTCTTCCATCATCGACCTTCCAAAATCAGCACAAGTTGTTGCATCTGATGATGATATTGATACAGACAGTAAGTACTTCGATTTAATCTGTGTTTATGTGTGTGTGTGTGTATGGGTGGGTGGGTGTTTTATAATACATATAAGAATTCGAACTGGAATTTTAGATGCCTGTAGTCCCAGAACTCGTGTGATTATTATTGTGTTTTACTTCTTTTTTTTTTTTAATGAAAACTGAACTCTTACTAAACAAAATAAAACAATACAAGATTATCCTCCTTCATCAAGAGTATTTCTCTGTTTAACTTTTAACACCAGTTGGATTTTTTTCCCCATTTCAGAAAGCGTGTGAGAGTTATCGTAGACCATGATTTTCAAACCAGCATCTTAAGTTGGTGTAATTTAATATATGAAAATTATTTATATTTTGACTAAATTTTAATTAAGTCTTCCAAAACGTTGATATCTTATATTTATACATATATATTTTTTAAATTTATATTTTTTGGCCTTGATCTTAAGTTTTTATTAGTGGATGTGTTTTTTATGCATTCATGAGGTGTCAGATGGATAGGATAAATTTTGGCCAAAAAAAAAAAAGATGGATAGGATAAAGTTAAGACACTTAGAATTGCATATATAATCTTTTTTCCCCAATCAAATCTTAGCATCTGAATTTATTATATCAATTATTTGTCATGTGACTAAGAATTAAGTCAGGTTATTATGATTTTTAATTTCTACTTAAATTTAACATTCACTTATCTTAATTTAATTGAAAATAAATATACTAGTGAAGTACCTATGGCAAATTATACTATGTATACATAATTTATATGACTTATGAGTGCTGTGAATTATTGTGGAGAAATACATCTAGTTTTTAAAAAATTGTGAGTACCCAAATTGCCTGGTTAGTTTATTGTCCAAGTTTTATATTTTAATTTGAATATTTGTACTTGTAATTAGAAAAAATCACCAAAAAAATCCTAAAAATTGAAAAATTACATATAGGGACCCATTCACAAAAGTTATTGTCAAAACTCATACTATTATTGTCAAGACTCAAGACCAATACTAATGTTGTAATGAGTCCCTTGCAGAAAAAAAAAAATTGTTGTAATGAGTCCCTTGGCAGGAAAAAAAAATTGTTGTAATGAGTCCCTATTTGTAATTCTTCTATTTTGATGGTTTTTTTTTTGGATTTTCTCTTGTAATTATTGGACATTTTAGTATTTACAGATTTAGCTATCCTATTTGGTATGGTATTTCGCTTCTCCGACGTCTCTTACTGGGTTTCCACGTAAGTCAGTGAATGAGGAACGGTTTGAGTACGGAATTCTTGAATAAAAACTTGGTCAATAGTGGTGGAAATTTGTTAAATGCTACATCCGCTTAATGAGAGTAAAATAGACAATAGCCTTTTTTCCCCAAAACCAACCATTACTTAATCATGCACTCGGCACCATCCATTATACTCTGATCTTTAATATAAAAGTTAGTTGACTAATTTAAATTGATTAAGAAAATTAGTTAAGTTAGTTATTTGTAATACAATATGTTGTCTTTCTTAAATATCCTTACTAATAAAGTATATTAGCTAAAACTACTATTCGATAAAACTTTTAACTTGTATAACTACTATAAGGACTACCTTGGGGAGAAAAAAAAAGAGACAAAGTGGATTGGGGTCTTATATTGAAGAACAAATTGGAAGTCAAACTAGCTCGTCTACTAAGGATTGAAGGTAATATTAAGCACCGAAGGGAATATTTTATGCTTTTTTCCTTTTAAAATATAAAAAATGCTGAAAATTTAAATAAAAAAATCGTATATAAAAAATGTCTGGACTATCCAAACTTCACCTGAATAGTGTAAATTGGTTGTTGATCATTGTTGCACTTCGTATTGAGAAGAAAAACATTTGTTTTTCTGAGTAGTGTATAACTATATATATTATACAATACTCCCTCCGTTGCTTATTATAAGAGACATTTGATGCTTATGGCATGTTCCTATATATAAGAGACATTTAAAAGTTGTCTCTACTTTTTTGTGTTGATTTCGTATTTTACCCATATTTATTGTCTCCAACTCACACTCTCCCTCCCTCCCACTTCTCTTTCTTTTAATAATTTAATTGTTCCCTCTCATGCTCTCTCTCCTTATTAATGAGGGCAGTTTTGAAAAAAAAATTATACTTTTGACACATTGATTGTTCTTAACTAATTTTAACTGTTTTTTTGATCAACGTAAATTAGTTATTCGTCTCTTATAATAAGGAACGGAGGGAGTATAATTAGACATGTTTTAATATCCTAACTCATTGCATGAAATTTGAACCATGAGTCAGTATTAATGAATTTCATTTTTTTACATTAATATTGATTATTCATATGTATTTGTCTGGGCACTTCCTGCTAATTTAACATCCACGTTTGTAATTTGATTAGGGGAGATAAGCATCGATTGTGGGGTAACTCAAGAAAGTCAGGACACAAATGGATTTCATCATGATGCAGATAATGCAGAGTTTGTAGAATCTGGAAAAATATATAATATATCTTCAAAGGACACATTTGATAATAGCCAAGAACAAGTTTGGGAGCAGATGAAAACACTGAGAAGTTTCCCAGAAGGCAAAAGGAATTGTTACACACTCAAACCCAGGCAAGGCAAACGCAACAACTATCTCATCAGGGCTTACATGTCATATGGAAACTATGACAACAAAAACTCTATTCCATACTTCCATTTACATCTTGGTGTCAATTTCTGGGCAGAAATTAAGTTTGAAAACGTCAATGCAATTCGACGAAAAACAGTCGTTCAACTGTCCCCAACAAACTACATTGATGTCTGTCTTGTAAACGTTGGTAGAGGGATGCCTTTTATTTCGTTGTTAGAACTATGGCCTCTGTCAAATTCTATATATAGAGCCACCTCTAGTTTGCTGCCTTTAGGCCTCATGACATGTGTTAACTTGGGTATGTCTGAAAACCTTAAATTTATCAGGTATGCCTCTCATGACATATGTTCATTTAAATTGTTCTTGAATAAGTAGAGTTCTCTTCATTAATGTCCTTCGCTTACGCAATAATGCAGATATGCAGATGATATCTATGGTAGATCCTGGTTGAATGGAAAGTTGAATAACTCTGAGAAATTCTCCACATCAGAAGCAATTAACAGTGATGTAAAAGAGTATAGACTACCAAATGAAGTGTTAAGAGCTGCAGTCCGAGCACTGAATGATTCAACTTCCTTATATATCACCTTGACCACCGTTAATTTTACAGCAGATAGCGAACATTATGTTTACCTTCATTTTTTTGATTTCGAGGAGCACTCTAAGGGTCAAGTAAGAAGCATGGAAATTACTTTTACTGATGCAATCCGAGTGCAAGTAACTCTTAAATACCAGGATGTCTATACCTTGGTTAAGAGAATTCCAAAAGGGGTTAAATTAAATAGTATTTCAATCACATCGACCCCAGGTTCTGGTTTACCCCCGATGATCAATGCTTACGAGATTTATAGAACACTACCCCAACCAAATACCCCAACTCATGAACAAGATGGCAAGTATATAGGATACTGATTGATTTATTTTATTATCAATCAAAGCCAAAATCTATTGCTCAACAATTTTCTTATATCTGAAAGATCACAAGGTTACTTCCATTTAACAGTTGATGCTATGCGGGACATCAAACATGCCTATAACATCATGAGGATGAGTTGGCAAGGTGACCCCTGCATGCCAAAAGAGTACAGATGGGAAGGGGTGACTTGCAATTACTCTGAGAGCATTCCACGGGTCACTTCTTTGTGAGTAATTGTCTCTTGATCTTCCTTATGTTTCAGAATTCTAATGCATGATCGTCTTCAGATAAAATGTACTTTACCAAATAGCTATAACGTATATCCTCGTTCAAGAGTATATATCCCCTGTTTCTCATGCTGTTTAATCGTATTTGTGTTTTTGTGTGAGTGAGTGAGTGAGTGAGTGTGTGTGTGTGTGATATTAGTTAAGCAATACAGAAAGTGTCTTTACTGTTTGACCTCAATCTCTCTCATTCTTTGCTTTGTGTTTTTCTTGGCAACATTATTATTGTTACCAATTTGTAAACAGGAATATGAGCTCAAGCAAATTGACAGGACAGATTGTAACTTCATTCTCCAATCTCATGACGTTGGAGGCCTTGTAAGTATCATCTATGCAAGGCACGGCTCTGATTTAATAATAATTATATGAGATGGTAATAATGAGTCTCACATTGAAGGGATTTGTCGAGCAACAAATTAACAGGACAAATACCAGAATCTTTAGCAGGACTACCCAATTTGAAACTTCTGTGAGTTGCAACACTTGAGCATAGCAATACTCTTTTCTTGTCTAACTAACAAGTTTTGCAATTTATCTCACATGATGCGTTCTCAGTAATTTGACAGGGAATAATCTCCAAGGCTCAATTCCCGAGGCTCTGAGGGAGAAGTCAACTACTGGTTTAACTTTGATGTATGTTTATGTTCAACAAAAACTCTTAGAAGTTTATTACCAACATGGCACCTTTACACTTCCTGTAATTACAGGGAGGTTGCAAGTTCAAACTCTAGTGCGTAGGTTTGGTGGGTGCGTGTGTTTTCTTCTTATGTGATTGTCCCCTACTGAAAAAAAAAAAAAAAGGTATATACAGATCATCAATTGTTTACTTATACATTAAAACTGACACTTGCATATTGATGATATTTTTTTCTTAGTTTGGATGGAAACCCAGGTCTCTGTCAGAGAGGCTCTTGCAAGAGCAATGCAAAGAAGTTCATAAAACCACTTGTTGCATCCGTAGTTTCTGTGGCAGTTCTTGCAATAATAGTCTACATTTCTTTGATGCTTTACAAAAATAAAAGAAAACATCATAGTGGTAAGAAAGGTGATAAAGTGCCCCACTGTTCTTTAGTTATATTCTTTATATTGATTTTTCAAGTACACAGAGATATAATGCTTTTGAAATTTCATTGCACATTGCTGCAGCAGTATTGGCGTCTAAGAAAGAAGGTCAGCTTAAATCAAAGAATCAAGGATTTTCTCAAGCTGAAGTTCGTAGTATTACCAATGACTTTGAAACTGAAATTGGAGAAGGGGGATTTGGGAAGGTGTATCTTGGAAGACTAAAAGATGGTACACAAGTTGCAGTCAAGTTACTTTCTAAGTCATCACAGCAAGGGTTCAATGAGTTTCAATCAGAGGTTAGAAGTCAAAAATGATTGATTAAATATATTTTATTTTCATTCATTTCTTTTATATTATATTACCCTACTAAATTACTTTATTCAATCATGGCATATAAAGATACGATTCAAAATTAATGCAGGCAAAACTGTTGTCCCTTATTTATCATAAAAATCTTGTTTCTCTCATTGGCTTTTGTGATGATGGTGACTTGAGAGCACTGATTTATGAATACATGGCAAAGGGAAATCTCCGGAACCTACTGTCAGGTTTGTTAAGTCTTAATTCCCAAGCTTAACTCTTACGATTAAATAATAATTTAATGTCAGTTCTATAACCCCCACCTCTCTCTTTCACTCACTCACAGAATTACTTATTTTTGAGACGTGCATGATAATTGCTTTGCAGATAAGAACCCAGATATTTTGAAGTGGAATGAGAGACTTCAAATTGCGTCGGATGCAGCATGTGGTTTGTAGACTACTTATTTCTTTCCCATCATTGCATTGGCAGTTCATTTACCTTGGTCTTTTATTTTATATTCTTTACTTTTCTTATATATAGCTTAAGTATTCACTTTATTATTGGTTAATGGAAATGCAGGATTGGACTATCTCCATAATGGTTGCAAGCCACCAATAATTCATAGAGACTTGAAATCTTCAAACATCTTGCTAAGTGAAAACATGCACGCCAAGATTGCTGATTTTGGATTATCTAAAGCTTTTACTAATGATACTGACACTCACATTTCAACTCGCCCAGCAGGCACATTTGGTTACCTCGATCCTGAGTATGTTGTTATATGATAAATTTTGTTATCCTTTTTCCTTTCTAATCCTTGTTGTGCCCAAAATATAAATTTAACCCATTTTCCTCAACTTCAACAAAATATAATAGACTAGCAATGCATATAATTGCAACTTAGAGTAATATCCACGGCCTTGAAATTTAGATTTGGTAATTAAAAATAAAACACCTGCTTAGCTTAATCAATATATTCAAACAGTAATAGATCTTGCAAAATTTGCAGGTTCCATAGAACTGGAAACTTGAACAAAAGAAGTGATGTTTATAGTTTTGGGATACTTCTACTTGAGCTAATGACTGGCCAGCGAGCAGTAACCGTAACATCTGACAGCACACGTCACATATCTGATTGGGTAAATCCAAAGCTTGAGAATGGGGATATCCAAGCCATTGTGGATCCAAGATTAGAAGGAAAATTCAGCAGTGCTTCAGCATGGAAGTTTCTAGAAATAGCCATGTCTTGCATTACACCAACAGCAATCCAAAGACCTGATATAAGTTCTGTTGTGATTGATCTGAAGCAATGTTTGGCTATGGAAGCATCTGTTGAAAGTGCAGAAAGCAGCAGCTTAATCTCAAGCACTACATTGGAAACAAGTTATTCTCAGTCTGGATCATACTCACCTCCATCTGCTAGGTAGCATTGCTGGCAGAGAAATGCATGGTCTTTCTCTGAATTGATCATCCATAATCCCATCACAGAGATTTGTTTTGCTTGGTCAGATTGTTTGTTTGTTTGCTTTGTTCTGACAATTCTTCTAAAGTGATCATGTTTGGTTCAAGAGATAAAGAAATTTGCAAATTTACATAAACTGAACCTAGTCTTCTTTTTCTTCTTTTGGACAAAACCCAAGTCAATTAAGACCAACATGGGATTATAGGAGATTTTGTAATATCAATCCCCCATGTTCTCTTGATTTTCTTGATTTTTAAGTGACTCGATTGAAGGAAATTAATGTTCAAGTATGCCAGAGAAAAATGTTTTTGAAGTGGAAATTAAAGGAAGGCATGGGATTATAGGAGATGCGTACGTCTAGACATGCAAAATGCTTGCTACAACAATCCAATATTCTGAAGTTCACATGCAATAATTTTTAATGCTGTATTGATCAAATTATGTTAATTAATTCCACAATAATCCCTTAAACAATCAACTTTTTTTTTTTTTATAGAAAAAGGAAGGCTTAATTATTTCTTTTTGTTTCTTTTATTTTGCCTCTCACTGTAGCAACAACACCAACTCACCCCGCTTTCTTTTTCTTTATTTCTTTGCCCACTTTGCCTCATCGTTTGTTTTACATACAAATTCCCCTTTACATCACTATAACATGCCTAAAACAAAGTTCAATTAGGAGCATCCTTGTCATGCAATTCGCTAGCTGCAATTTTTGGCAATGACAGTAACATTCAATAATGGAAAGAAAAGTCTAATTCAACCATTAATATATGGATATATAATATAAAATATATAACGTGCTACATTATCTATATAATACTTGAACAAATATGTCTGGGTAACTTTAACTTGAAAAAATTAATCTACAAGTCTCCATAGTTTTACCTAATTTTTAGTCAGATCCCTACATCACTCTTGTCCTTAATATAAGTCACTTGCAACACATTCTTGTATATCAAGAAATGTATTAAATTGTAAAAAAATTTCAATTTTGTCCTTATTAAAGCTTTCATTTTTTTCTATATTTACAATAATTCTCATATCTCTTCCTTTTTTTAATGAGAATTAAATAAAGATAAAATTAAAAAACAAATATTAAATATACTATAAATAACTTATATTTAGGACTAAAACTTCTCCTCACGAGTGACTTATATTGAGAACCATAGTTTCAAATCATGGATAAAAGGGGGGAAAAAATTTCAAGACCTGATTATGTAATAAAAAAATTAAAAGACTACAGGAAAAAAGAAAATTACTTTTTAAGTCAGCACTAACTTTCTTGACACATGGGTCACGACTTCAAACCACTTATTATATGACTTTTAAAACTCCATCTGTGTTAAGAAAAATTTGGAAGCGAAGCAATTGGAGCTTCATTATTTATAAAGATTAATAAGTCAATCATATAATATAATTTGAAAAAATACAAAAAAAAGATAGATATGAATTATTTATTGAAGAATAAAATGTTTTGTATCTTCAAATGGTTTAAATAATTAAAAATTATTCAAAACAAAAACAACTTTAACATCTAAAATTAAAAGAATAATATTTAAATAAACAAAAAGTGAATTTCATATTTAATTTTTTATATATATAACCATATATTACTGAGAAAATTTAAGTTCTAAACTACGTAAAACGAAAAAAAATATTCAAAAGAATGAACATCCTGGAAAAAAAAGTTTGCTACAAATGGCTACCAAAAAAGGTTGTTGAGAGTGTCGTCCTAAAAGGCAAATTTGATTGAGTCAGCACTTATCCTCCGTGATAATTTTATAAACCTTTTTTGTCTTCTTGATAGACACTGTTTTGATAGTACTCCTAATATTTATTAATTATTAATTGCCAATTATTGCATGTTGGCTGGTAATTAATTCAGTGGTAAATTTTGCCCGACAGACAATAATCATCTCAACCTATGCTCCTCATCTCTCTCTCTCTCTCTCTCTCTGTGTGTGTGTGAGAAACCATGAAGATCGCAGTACTTTGGATTGTGGCTTTGCTTGCGTCTGTTCCTTCTATGATGGATCTTCCAAAGTCAGCTCAAGTTGTTGCATCTGATGATGATACTGATACGGGCAGTAAGAACATCGATATATTTATTCAGTGTGTGTGTGTGTGTCTGTGAGAATTTGAATCTGGAATTTATAAATGAGTCTTCACAAATGTTGATACCACCACGTATTATAAGTTTATATTAGTAGATACGTTTTTATGCAGTGCCCGAGTTGTTCGCCGGGGGTTACTGTGTGGTCGGGGAAGAATTATACTACCGCTCCTAATTATAAGATCTCGTTTGTAAAGTATAAACGAGGTCTTATAATTAGAACCGGAAGTAGTAATTATAAAGTCTCATAACTAGTAAAGTCATAAGTTACACAGTAAAAAATAACAACAAATTCTAAATTATTTACTTCTTATTGGGACTTTTTTAATTACTACAACCTCTGGTTCTAAATATATAATATTGACTTTGTAATATAATTGTAGTGCAAATTATACCACAAAGTAGATTTTATATTGAGGACTAGAGGTGATAAATTCTTTACTTGGGACATGATAGTGATTTTCCCATAAAAATAAAATACTAAACCTTGTATATATAATATGCTCTCTGTTTTTTTTTTCAAAATCTAATCATAACATGTGAATTTGTTTACCAATTATTTGTCATGTAACTGACTCTTGCTATTATGATTTTGATAATCGAAAATAAGTATAATAAATATATTAGTTAAGTACCTGATAATTTTCTACAATCATGACTTATGAGTAGCGTGATTTATTATGGAAAAAGATATCTTGTTTTTAAAGAGAGGTTAAGTTGCATCTAGTATTTTTTTTTTTTTCAGTTGTGTTCATTGTCTTAGAATATTTTGTGGTGTATCTAACACTTTTAAAAAAAAAATTAGGTACATTCAGCACTGTAGACTATATTCTATTGTGTCCAATACTCTTAAATATATTTTTTTCAGATACATCCAGCACCCTAAATTATTTTTTGATGTATTTGGCATCCAAAATTGTTAAGTGTAAAATTGTGCTAAAAAATATTTTTGGGTCTTGGATGTGCATGGAAAAAATATTTCAGGATACTTGATACATTACAAAATATTTTATGATATTATATGCACCTGAAAAAAATATTTGAAGGTGTTGGATGTGCTTTTTCCCTTTAAAAAATTATGATTACCCAAACTGTTTAGTCATTCCATGGTCCAAATTAATATTTGTTTTATTAATTGGTATACGTTTTAATATCTGAAGTTAAAATTTACTCCCTCTGCTATGTAGTATAAGCAATATCACAACCTTTAGTGAATATTTAATTTCATGTTTACAAAAGCACCCGGGATATAACCCGTTTAACTATCGACTTATTACCCAGCTACCATCTATACTACTAGTACATATTTTATTGGGGCCAAATAGAGAATATAATTTTTCTCAAATACAACCATTTCTTAATTGTGTCCTTAACCTCATCCATTACTTATATTAGATAGCAAAGGGAGTATTTCATTTTTTTTGCTTCTTTAAAATATAAAAATGCTGAAAATTTAAATAAAAAATCATATAAAATGTTTGGACCATCCAAACTTGACCTGAATACTGAATAGTGTAACTTGGTTGTTGATCATTATTGCGCTTTGTTTTGAGAACAAAAATATTTGTTTTTCTTAATGTTTACTATGTTCTATAGCCATATATTCTCTCCCATCCTTTATATAAATTATACTTTTGGGATAGGCTTGGTGCTTTTTATAAGTTTTACTTTGTATTTCTTTGGAAATTTAATTTTTTATTTATTTTTACTCTTAATTAATTATATATCTCTCTCAAATCATTTTTCTACCCATTTTTCTTCGTCTCTTTGTTCATTTATTCTCTCTTTCGTTCACCTTCTCTATAAATAAAAACATATTTTTAAAAAAATTATTTTTTATATATTTATTATTTTTAACTAAATTTGATCAACCTTTTGATTTGATTATTCATGACCTAATGGGGGAAGTATTACACAATAACGAGACATGTTTTAATTTCCTACTCATTAGTCAGTATTGATGAATTTTATTTTTGACATTAATATTGATTATTCATATCTATTTGTCACGCCACTTTTTTTTTTTGGCCTGAAGCCTCGCCACTTTCTTACTTTATAATATGCTTATATAATAATTAACCTCCATGTTTGTTTCCCAATTTAATCAGGGGAGATAAGCATTGATTGTGGGGTAACTCAAGAAAGTGAGGACACAAATGGATTTCATCACGTGGCAGATAATGCAGACGTTGTAGAATCTGGAGAAATACATAATATATCTTATAAGGACGCACTTGATAATAGCCAAGAACAAGTTTGGGAACAGATGAAAACACTAAGAAGTTTTCCAGAAGGGAAAAGGAATTGCTACACACTCAAACCCAAGCAAGGCAAACACAACAACTATCTCATTAGGGCTTATTTTTCATATGGAAACTATGACAACAAAACCTCTATTCCATCCTTCTATTTATATCTTGGCGTCAATTTCCTGGAAGAAATTAAGTTACAGACTGTTGATGTAATTCGGCGAAGAACAGTCATTCAAATGTCCCCAACAAACTACATTGATGTGTGTCTTGTAAACGTTGGTAAAGGCATACCTTTTATTTCGTTGTTAGAACTATGGCCTCTGTCAAATTCTATATATAGAGCCACCTCTAGTTTGCTGCCATTACGACTCCTCACATGTGTTAACTTGGGTATGTCTGAAGACCTTAAATTTATAAGGTATGTATCTAATGATGACATGTGTTCATTTAAATTGCTCTAGAATAACTAGTAGAGTTCACTAATTAATGTCTTCTGGTCGCACAAGGATGCAGATATGCAGATGATATCTATGGTAGGTCGTGGTTGAATGCAAAGATAAATAACTCAGAGCGATTCTACACATCAGAAGCCATAAACAGTGATGTAAAAGAGTACAAACTACCCGATGAAGTGTTAAGAACTGCAGTTCGAGCACTAAATGATTCGGCTTCCATATATATCAACTTGACGTCAATTGGTTTTACAGCAGATAGCGAACACTATGTTTACCTTCATTTCTTTGATTTCGAGGAGCATTCTAAGGGTCAAGTAAGAAGCATGGAAATCACTTTCACTGATGCAATCCGAGAGCCTGTAACTCTTAGATACCAGGTTGTTTATACCTTGGTGAAGAGAATTCCAAAAGGTGTTCTTATTGATCAAACTTAAGGATTTGAGCTCTTTTTACGAGCCATTGATGTATTGGTTATACTCTGCTAACCACTTGTGAAAATATTGGTTAACTAAATTGGTTAATTTCTATGTAGTAGTTAAAAAGGTCATATACATAGAACTGGAGGTACTCATCATTTTTCCCCTTTATTTTTTGTGCCAAAATGAGATCTAAGTATTTGCCATGAGTAAGGATTTTAAAAGGTATAAATTGAAAAATTACAAAGAGATACAGTCAAAAATACTTTCCAGCTAGCAATAACAATTTTAACATATTTCTTCATGCCTCTCACTCTCTCCTTTTTGTACTTTATCTCTCACTAACAATTAACAACGACAACTCAGTCCTTTTCTTTCTTTCTTTCTTTTAGCCAAAGCCTGCACCTTTACTATCTCTTCCACAAAGTGCAATATATATAAAATTTCTTTTGTATATATGTATCCTCCTTCATCATTTCATGTCAAATCATATACTACCTCCAGTTCTTAATATAAGACCTCGTTTGACTTTTATTTTGGTCCTAATTATAATACCCCAATCCACTTTGTCTTTTATATTTATGCATTTTTTCCTAATATAATCTCTCTAATAATGATAGTTCTAGCCAATAAACTTGATTAGCAAAGATATTTTAGGAAAGACAACACCTATTTATTATAAATAACTAACTTAACTTATTTTTTTAATCTCCTCAAATTAGTCAATTAGCTTTTATAATTAGGACCGGAGGTAATATCACTTTTAAAATTCCGATCCCAATCAAATATGAATGAAGGGCAGGCCTTGCAAATTCGCTCTATCTGCAGTTTATGCCAATGACGTTAATCTTCAATAATGGAAAGAAAAAGCCCAATCTAACCGTCACTAATATCAACATGGTATAAGTTGCATTATTCATAATTCGTGATTAGTATGGTTTATTTTTTAAACATATAGTACAATGCATATATAAGAATATAAGTATTTCAAGTAATATGAGGTCCTCATCTACAAGTTTTGTTTTGTGCAAGCATATGTCTTCTGGGAAAAAAACAATGTAAATTACTGTTTAAGTCACCAACAACATTTCATGTTCCCCACTATATATGAACTTTTTCTTTTGTCTTTAATTAGTTTTGTTGGCCAATTCATCACTCCCCTTCCATCTTCTTTCCTTTTTTGGGGGGGCTTTGGAACCATATGGATCAGTACTCGATCCTTTAAACAAATAATTAATTACTTATCAAGTATTGTTAACTACACATATTAAATGGAGGAGTGTCTATTAATTGGAGCAATTTCAATGTAAATTCTTATAGATGATATTTTAGGAAAATAAATGCACATTTTTTTACAAATAATTAACTAAATTAATTTTCAGCTGTTGAATTTTCTCAATCTCTACATTACTCATCCAATATCTACATTAAGGGCGAGAGAAAATAACGTTAATCAATTTAAATGTAAGAACAGGAACAATACCACAAGAAAACAACCACCCGAGATGAATTATGTAAAAATAAAAATTACAAATAAAAACCAATAATTCGTGAAAATAGTCGAAAGGTCAAGTTATACGTAACTCCAATAAAATTTATCGATAATTTTTTTAAAGAAAATAATGTTAATGATTGTAAAATTTGAGGCGTGAAAGATTTGCTGTCTAATTAAATTCTGAAAATTCATAGAAAAATCTTGGCTTCAAAAATCCACAACATCGCAGCATTGTTCTTTGTAGTCACCTGATCACAAATTTTACTTTGACCTTCTCATGTCTTGTACCTCGAATAAATACCTGCATCTCATATATAAATACCAAAAACCAGCCAAAAGCAAGCTAAAATCATAAGAAATACCAACATTTTTTTAATTTTGTATAGAATTTCAGCTTACCTCTTTAACTTTAGAAAACATACTTTTAGTCATTTAACTCTAAAACTAGTAACAAAAATGATGACACAAGTATTGATAATAAAACATTCTCAAATGCTAACATATTAAATTTAATTTTTAAAATAATTATAATTGTTAAAAAAATTATCATTTAAGGTTAATGATTTTGGAATAAATGACAAAAAATATAGTACTTTTTAAAGTTAAATGACTAAACTAAAATTTTTTAGAAAGTTAAAGAACTAAACGTATATATTTTAGTTTTTTTTCCTATTTTTACCCTTAAAATTAATGACCTTATCTAACCCCGATTATCCTGGGAATTAGGGGAAGTAACCCTCTTGGGAATTGCACTTTTCAAGAAATTTAATTTGTATAATAATAAATAAAAAGTAAAGTAGTACATTTATCTTGAAAATTTAATAATGTGTTGCACTCGTGAGACACTAGATAGGAAAAGAGGATTAACATTTAGCAAATCGTCATTAAGCATACAAGAGTTCGTATTACGTGTGGTGACCTGGGAAATTAAAATTATGGACTGACCAGTCCATATTTTTTCGGCCAACAAGTTCATGATTACTATCACTTTGTCAACAACATGAAAATTAGTCGGTCAGTTAATACTTATTTAACATTTCATGCGTATCACGACCATCTTTTTTCTTTGCTTTAGCTTTATTTCTCCAACCCACTAATTACTTTCATTTCATCTTTAGCATCATGTGCGTGTGACACAGGCTCAATAATTCGAACACCACATTATAAATTGCCTATCTTTTTCCATAAAGTATTAAAGTACTATTCATAATTCCTTTGTACTTATCTTGTCCCACATCAGCTCAATCATATCAACCTGCCCAAAAAAAAAAGCAACTCAATTATTTTGTTCATTAATTAAATAATGAGTTAATATTATTTTTGTTCCTGAAATTTGACTTTTCTGATTTTAATTCCTGAAAGTTGATTTTATTTTGATTTTGATTCCTTAAATTTATTTTAGTTTTAATTAGTCTTTGTTTCATGAATAAAAAATCTTTAGCTAAACCAAAATAAAGTCAAGTTTCAGAGACCAAGATCACATATTTAAAATTTCAGTGACCAAAATTAAAATTAAATACTTAATAGGTTGCAGAATTTCTTCTCTGAATGTATGTTATTCTCAATTACGATGAACTTGGATCAGAAAGATTAGATAGGGGCCTCCTATTTCATCAGTATCAGATATTACGAAGAATCTGGCTTTCTCGTCATAATTTTTTTATCTCGTATCTTTTATGGAAGATGTTGACTTGCATAATAAATTACAGCTCTTCAGGGAACAAATTTTAAAAAAAAAATCGAAGGGTTCAAATTAATTAAATAACTAAGATTCAATCAAAATAATCATCATTTTAACTTCTAAAATTAAGAGAATAATAATTAAATAAGAAAAAAGTAAATTTCATATTTAATTTGTATACATAACCATATTGTAATTAATGAAAAGTTTATTTGCTAAGCTACATAAAACTAACGAAAAAATTGAAAAGAATGAATGGCCAAAAAATGAAGAAAAAATTTGTTAGGAATGACTTCCAAAAAGGTTGTTAATGAATCAAATTCAATAATATGAGTTGTCGTTTTATGAAGTGATCTAAGCGTAAATGGAATTAATGCTAATTTTTAAAAACAATGACATTTAACTGAGTTAACTCTAAGAGGTCTTCAGTCCCGGAAAAAAAAAAAATCTAAGAAGTCTAACTTAATCTCCCTAAATTACACTTGTGTGATACTAAATTATATATCATTTTATAAGTTAGATAAATTAATTTTAAAAAAAATGATAAATATTAGAGATAAAAATGAATTAATATATATCTTGCAACTCTCTTAACTCGCTCTTTAAGACTGGAGGAGTATTTAGTAATTCTCAGCTATTGCAGTCTAAAATTAGATAATGGTCCCAACTCATGATTCTCAATTCACTCACTCACTCTCTCTATCTCTCTCATCCTCTTCCTCTTTGCTGAAAACTAACTCTGAGATGAAGATGGAAGCATTATGGCTTGTGGCTTTGCTTGTGGCTACTTCTTCAATCATGGACCTTCGAACGTCTGCACAAGCAGTTGTTCCATCAGACGGTGGTGATGATACTGATACAGGCCGTAAGCACTTCGACTGGTTTCTTCTTTGAATTCCAATTTAGATTCTTCTGATCTCAGGATTCGTTTTATTATTCTGTTTTTCTCATGTTTTACGTAATTTTTAACACCACCAAGTTGGAAATTTATTATTCGTTTTCATGGTCCCCCCCCCCTGACATATCAAAAGTCAAAACGCTTATGATGAGAGTGGTTTATCATAGACAATGATTTTAAAACTAACTTAAAGTTCTGTAATTTATATCTTTACAAAATTTTCAATAGGTCTTCACAAATTTTGGTATTATACTGCTCCTGGCTCTGCTACCGACTACTTATAAGCCATGCAATGCAGTTGCAGCTGCCACCAAATTTTGAGTATCTTTTTTCTTTTCATTTTCATTTTATACTGTTTATTTACAAATTTCAGTAAAATTCAAATACCAGAAAATTAATATGATCTTGCAAAAATTATGATTGCTCAAATTGTCGTCGTAGTCTAAATTTATATTTTAAGTTTAATGTCTTGCAATTGATTATTATTTATTTTAATTTTTGAAGTTAAAATTTAATTTGATATTTTATTTATTGTGAAAAAACAAGTATACTCTAATTAAAAAAATCATATGAAAATTGTCAGGACTATTCAAATTTGATTTGGAGAGCGAAAATTTGCTAATTTAGATCCTCACCTCAATTGACCGACATCAACCTTCAGATGATTTCATGGCCATTGAGGAGGCGTCATGTCAATGAAAACAAAAAAAAGGAAGGGAGAGTTACAAATTTATTTTTTCAAATCGTAATGACCATCAACCATCATTAACCATTGAGCCTCATACCTATAAATATATATATATGTATATATTGGAAAGGAAAACATTTTCTTTAATATTTATTGTGTGCTCTATAACCACGTATTCTCTCGGTTCTTTTCATATGTAAGACCTCTTTTGGAAAGTTTTCTTGATCCTAAATAAATATATGACAAAAAAATTTTAATCGTGCTGAAGTGGTTAAAAAGTCCTTATAAGAAGAATGGGAGGGAGTCATTTTTCCTAGCCATTGCATGGAATTTGACCAATGACTCAAAGTTAATGGATTTTGACACACTTTGTTTTTTTACATTTTTTTTGGCGAAGTTGTTAAAAAAGTCCTTATAAAAATCAACAAGCCAGCTAATTTCTTATAACGCGACAATCTAAAATTTAACTTAAAAAAATACTTATATTTAGTATCTGACAATATTTTAAATAAGATTGCCTTCCATGAAAAGTTATCATGCTTGTAAAAAATATCCTTTATGAAGAGAACGGTATGGAGTATTAAAGAATAATTTACTGAGATTTTTCCGAGGCATTGCATGGAACTTGAACAATGAGTCAACGTTAATGGATTTTATCTCTGACATCCATATATTGATGATTCACAATTCATATATGTTTGTCTAGCCACTCTCCCCACTACGTATACGTAAAATTAACCTATTTAATTTGTTTGTCTTCCAATTTAATTAGGGGCGATAAGCATTGATTGTGGGGTAACTCAAGACATCCGGGATTCAAATGGATTCTATCATGACGCAGATGACGCAGAGTTTGTAGAATCTGGCAAGATATATAATCTATCCTCTTATAATAACTTCGATAATGGTCAAGAACAGGTGTGGGAGCAGATGAGAACATTGAGAAGTTTTCCAGAAGGGAAAAGGAACTGCTATTCACTGAAACCCAGGCAAGGCAAAAACAACAACTATCTCATTAGGGTTTACATGTTCTATGGAAACTATGACAACAAAAACTTCATTCCATCCTTTCATCTACATATTGGTGTCAACTTTTGGACAGAAATTAAGTTTGAGAATGCCAGTGTTATTCGACGAAAAACAGTTGCCCAAGTTTCCCCGACAAACTACATCGACGTGTGTCTTATAAACATTGGTAATGGCATACCCTTTGTTTCGCTGTTGGAATTGTGGCCCTTGTCAAACTTTATATATCGAGCCTCCTCCAGTTTACTGCCATTAGGCCTCATGACATGTGTTAACTTGGGTATGTCCGAAGACCTTAAATTTATCAGGTATGTGTTTTAATATGAACGTTATGTATAATCGGAATATATATATATATCTGTCTGCTTATGTCAGAGTTCATTAAAGTCTTTTGCTGACATAATAATGCAGATATGCGGATGATATCTATGGTAGGTCCTGGTTCAATGTAAAGCTTGATAACTCAGAGCGGTTCTCTACACCAGAAGCAACTAACGTTGACGTAAAAGAGTATAGACTACCAGATGAAGTGTTAAGAACTGCAGTCCGACCACTGAATAATTTGTCTTCCTTATATATCAACTTGACCTCCATTAATTTTACAGCAGAGAGCGAACATTATGTTTACCTTCATTTTTTTGATTTCGAGGAGCATTCTCAGGGTCAAGTAAGAAGCATGGAAATTACTTTCACTGATGAGATCCGAGATGCTGTAACTCTTAGATACCAGGATGTCTATACCTTGGCAAAGAGAATTCCAAAAGGTGTTCTTGTTGATCGTATCGTATTTCAATCACATCAACCCCAGGCTCTGGCTTACCCCCCATGATCAATGCTTATGAGATTTATGGAGCATTACCCCAACCAAATTCACCATCTCATGAAGAAGATGGCAAGTATACTGATTGATATATATATATATATATATATATTTATATATTTTTACTCCGATCTTTCTCTGCTTATGCTTTAGCTATATATTGATTGTTTTAGGCAGCTCTCTCTCATATTGGTCTATCATCCGAGTTGTTTTAAATCAATTAGAGTAAAAAAAACCATGTTCATCCACAATTTTGTAACCATATTTCATTTTATTTTCTTCAATTTAGGAAGTCACAAGGTCACTTCCATTAACAGTTGTTACCTTGCGGAACATCAAAACATGCCTATAACATCATGAGAATCAGTTTGGCAAAGGTGACCCTGCATGCCAAAAGAGTATATAGATGGGAAGGTGTTACTTGTAATTACTCTGACAGCATTCCAAGGGTCACTTCTTTGTAAGTAATGGTCTTTTGATCTTTTTAATTTTCAGAGTTCTAATGCATGATCATTCTTCATCTGTTCATGCTGTTTAGTGATGTATCAGATATTATTTTAAGTAGCAGAAAAAAGTTTGTCTTTGCTTTCACTTTTGTCTCTCGTGTTCTTTGCTTGTGTTTTTCTCGGAAACAACATTTTCATTCTTATCAGTGTCCGAACAGGAACATGAGCTCAAGCAAATTGATAGGAGATATTGTAACTTCATTCTCCAGTCTCATGACATTGGAGAGCTTGTAAGTATCATCTACACAAAGTCAACTTTTGTATATTTTTCCTACCATATATTATAGAAACTTCACATTGTCTGTCTCTACAAGCCAAATAACTTCTGTTATTTACTAATTATATATGTGACGGTATATAATGAGTCTCACATTGTAGGGATTTGTCAAACAACCAATTAACAGGGGAAATACCAGAATCTTTAGCAAAATTACCCAGTTTGAAACTACTGTAAGTTGCAATCTTGAGCATAGCAGCAATAATTTCTTGTTCAAGAAGTCTTGCAATTTATCTCACTGATAAGTCTACAGTAACTTGACAGGAAATAATCTCAAAGGTTCAATTCCCGAGGCTCTGAGGGAGAAGTCGACTACTGGTTTAACTTTGATGTATGTTTATATTTAATGTAACTTAATTTAATTTCATTACACAGTATAGTTGCATTCTCTAAAGTGAATATTTTCTCTTCTTTTCACAACAAGGCTATTCAAAAGATTATATGATTTGTCTTTAACTCATTTCCCCTGTTTGAAGTCGACCACTGGTTTAACTTTGATGTACGTTTATATTTAATGTAACTTAATTTAATTTCATTACGCAGTAGAGTTGCATTCTCTAAAGTGAATTTTTTTTCTTCTTTTCAGAACACAAGGTATTCAAAAGATTATATAACTTGTTTTTAACTCATTTCCCCTGTTTGTTATGTTAAATGTAGTCTTCATCTCTTATATTACTGATATTGATAAATATATGCAGGTCATCATTTGTTTCCTCATTCGTTAAAACTGACACTTGCATTTTGATATATACTTTCTCCTAGTTTGGAAGGAAATCCAGGTCTCTGTAAGACAGGGTCTTGCAAAACCATTACAAAGAAGTTCATAAAACCTTGTTGCATCCGCAGCCTCTGTGGTGGTTCTTGCAATAATAGTCTGCATTTCTTTGATTCTCTGCAAATACAAAGAAAACATCTTAGTGACACGAAAGGTGACCAAGAGCCCCATTTTTCTTCAATCCTTTGTATTTATTTTTCTTGTATATAAGTCTTTAGATGTGATTAACTTACCCTTTTTCTTGTCTATGTATAGATGGTCCCTGCTTAGTTGGAAATGGAAAGTTTTCTGTGAATACTAGTACTCTATTGTATTAGATTTCTTATACAAATGAAATTTTTATTTTGCATTGCTACAGCGTTGTTTTTCCAAAAAATATGGTCAGCTT